ACCTTCACTGTCCACCTTCCCTGTCCACCTTCACTGTCCACCTTCCCTGTCAACCTTCCCTGTCACCTTCACTGTCCACCTTCACTGTCCACCTTCCCTGTCACCCCCCCCTGTCCACCTTCACTGTCCACCGGGCACTGTCCACCTTCACTGTCCCCCGTCACTGTCCACCGTCACTGTCCACCTTCCCTGTCCACCCTTTACTGTCCACCGTCACTCTCCCCCCGCCACTGTCCACCTTCCCTGTCCATCACTGTCCACCTTCACTGTCCACCCGTCACTGTCCACCTTCCCTGTCCACCGTCACTGTCCACCTTCCCTGTCCACCTTCCCTGTCCACCGTCACTGTCCACCTTCCCTGTCCACCTTCACTGTCCACTTCACTGTCCACCTTCCCTGTCCACCTTCCCTGTCCACCTTCCCTGTCCACCTTCACTGTCCACCTTCCCTGTCCACCTTCACTGTCCACCTTCACTGTCCACCTTCCCTGTCCACCTTCCCTGTCCACCTTCACTGTCCACCTTCCCTGTCCACCTTCCCTGTCCACCTTCACTGTCCACCTTCACTGTCCACCTTCACTGTCCACCTTCCCTGTCCACCGTCACTGTCCACCTTCCCTGTCCACCTCACCTCACAAACTTATACATCTGCACCTTAAATTATGTAACATACAGTTCTTAAATTTATTAAAGGAAATCCTCCAAGCCAGTAACACTGGCTGTATTAAATCTGGTCTTAGAATGTATATATATTCAGGATTAATTATTGGACTTAAAATTTTTTGTATAATTTGTTGGTATCTTATGTATATAACAGTTCCAATAATTATACATATATAGGTTACATAGTTTCAATTAAAAAAAAAGGGAAATATATCTTAGCAAACTATGATCTTGATATATTATAAGCTTCCCTCACAGGACAGTAAACTACTACTGGCCAATAGATACATTACCTGTAGTGAGATTTAATTCACACTGGGAGGTGTACATTATATAGTTGATTCTTGTGATAGGCAATGTAGATTCCCCAGCAACAGCTCATGTTTTTCATTCATATCATCCTTATTTTCATAGTTTCACTTTGTATCTGAGCGCTTCTGGATACACATTAAATTCACTTATTATATATGTCACTATATTTGCCAATACTATTTCTATCAGCTTAGATTAAATGAGATTAATTCTCCTCAAATTCCCAGTCCATTCTCTATTAGTCAGCCATTTTTGTTGCTCTCCCCCATTTTTTGTCTCCCAATACATCTTTTCAATTAATTTAATAACATTTTCAGATGTGTACTACATTTTCATTAATGAAATATTAATTTCCTCTAAATTATAACATCTTCACTTTATTCATTTCCTTACAGAATATAAGGAAATAATAGAAAATATTAGTTCTCATGTCACAGAACATCTTTTAAATGTCACTGAAGTCACACACACAATTTCAGATAAACATTATTATTTTTTGACACATTGGCAATTACCCATCAAGGCTGGGTGACCCAAAAACATAAAAAAAAAAAATCATCATCATTCATATATAATCACTGTCTTTGCAGAGGTGCTCATATACGATATTATTATCCTTATCAATTTTTACACACAAATCCCAGGAAAACTGTCAAAATTTTCCAGTTTTCTGCCGATTTCCAGCAACCATCCAGCATTGGTGTTACCCTGAGACTCATCACTGCTACAACAGCTGTTGTTCTGTAAGGCTATTCTTGCAAGCATGCTCTGTGAGTGAATGTGGTTTTGCCAAATTATCCCATTCAGTTTATGATTACTTCTGAAATTCATGATGGAAGTTATACTTAGGAAGCATGCAAGTATTGTAGCTCTTAAAAAAACATTCTGATTTGAATATCAGACAGGTTGCCAAAAAATTGAGCCTAGCAGTCAGCTGTTGATCAGATTCTGAAGAGATCTGATAATACTGATGATTGTGGAGCACTGCAGTGAGGAAGATGTGACAAAAACGCAAAACAACGCCTCACAATGACAAGGTTATCATAAGGAATAGTGTGAAGGATCGCCCTCAAAAAACAGCAAAGATTTACAGAGATATTTGGCTCCTTGAAGGTGGCAAAACTGTCAGAAAGCCAGTAAAGAAACAAGTATTGACAGTTATGAAGAACAGCTGCTGTGGGCAGTTATGAAGAAAAAACGGCTGCTGTGGGCACTCATCATAAGGGATGGATGACAGATGAACAGAGAAAAGATTTATTTTCAGATGAGGTGAATTCTGAAGTACGTGGGTACAGATCAGTAGTAGTGAGATGGAGCAAAGGAGAACCTCTTTGGAATGGACATAACAAGTGCCAAAACACCCACCTAAGATGTTTGGGGTAGTTTTGGTGCAAAAAACCCCTGATGAATTGTTGTTGTTGAGGGAATGATGAACAGTGACAGTTGCAAGGCAATCCTGGCAACTCAATTGCTTTCCATTGTGGATAGAGACTTTCCAGATGGAGAAGGTATTTTCCAGCAGGATCTTGCTCCATACCACACTTCCAGAAGAATGCTGGCATTCTTTGAAGAGAGTAGGCTAAGTATTCTAAATTAACCTGGAAACTCTCCAAAACGGTTGGGATCCTCTCCAAGATACGATACTACATGCCGCAAACTGCCCTTCTCACACTATACCATTCACTTATATATCCATACCTTACCTATGCTATCTGTGCTTGGGGTTCAACAGCAGCAACACACCTAAAGCCAATAATAACCCAACAGAAAGCCACAGTAAGAATAATCACTAAATCCCATCCCTGACAACACCCCCCCCCACTCTTCATAGATCTAAACTTACTCCCTGTTCAGTACATCCACACTTACTACTGTGCAATCTACATCTACAGGACCTTAAATTCCAATATTAACCTTGACCTAAAATGCTTTCTTGATAGTTGTGACAGAACCCACAGGCACAACACCAGACACAAACATCTCTATGACATTCCCCGTGTCCGACTAAACCTTTACAAAAATTCAATGTATGTCAAAGGCCCTAAAATCTGGAACACCTTACCTGAAAATTCTAAAACTGCAGACACATTCATCACCTTCAAAACTACCATCAGAAAACATCTTATCTCCCTGATACACCGTCAACTAATTATACGAATACCACCTGGTGGTTCACATTTACACTCACTCACCCATTTGACCATAAACAGAAATATCAATCTCAATCTCAAAATAATGAATCTTAACTAGTCATAAGTTGGCCTGTGATACTCCAATACTGAAACCATGTATAGTGCTAAAACAAAAGCATTCACATTGCTAAACTCACAAACTAGTATTTAGTCACTTAGCCATTATACCAACTTACCTCATAATTTTGTAATATTTTAAACTTAAGATTTAATCTAAGTCTGCCCGAAATGCCTAGCCATGCTAGGTGTTCTAGTGGTACACTCTCTATTATTTTACTATATGTAAACCACACAATAACCAAATTCTGTAAACTCAGCATTGTAATCCTTACAGAGAATAAACTTTGAATTTGAATTTGAATTTGACTTCGATCCATTTAAGAATCTATGGTCAGTAACTAAACGCAGGATCATAAAACAGGACTGTTCAGCTGTAGAGAAATTAACTGCTGTTGTTTAGGACCTGGTACCTTGATGAAGAACTTGCCAAAATGCATTCAACATTGGTCATTTCTATGCCAAAATGTATAGCAATGCTTATAAAAGCAAATGGTAGTCACATCTCTTATTAATTCAACTATGTCATATCATTGCTATATATTTTTCAAATGAACATTTTCCAAATAAATACGTATCTTATTTCATCACTGTCCCAATTAATATGCACACTACTGAATACAACAGGCACAGTAATGAGTGCATATTTTATATATTAAGTAAGTTCAAACTCTTGAATTCAAGTGGGGGTGGGGGTGGGAAGGGGTTGTCTGGCACAGGAATGAGATAGTCCACACAGCAGCTTTTTGTTGAGTTATTAATGGTTTAAGATGATTAGTCATAATAGATCCCCAGGCACACATACCTTAGATAAGGTAAGGGTATATTAGACTGGTACAGTATTAGTATAGTAAGTAGATACCTGTGTATTAATCTCTGCCCCTGTTGGCACCATTTACCTGTCAGTAGGTACATATGTAAAATTTAACACTCCATAACCTATGTCTAGTTTCTAGTAGACTATAAGTATTAGGATTAGCCTGCCCAAAATGCTCAAGAACGATAGAGGCATTCTTTGTGTGTAACAATACTTTATTACGTACATGTCAATTACAGTTTGTATGCTACACGAAGAAATAAAAATTTGAGTTTGAATGTATTAATCTCCTTGCATCTGTTGACACTTTACTTAGCAGTAAGTAGGTACTCGAGTATTAGTTGATTGTTGATGGTGGCATCCTGAAGATAATCAAAAGACCATAATGGATATAAGCCAAAGCAGAGTACCTGGTTTTCTTGTGTTATCTTGGGGTAGTAACCCTTTGAGTTGATAATTTGACATCAGTGACATACTATTACATGTATATAGAAAGCTCCTTGTTATGCAGAGTATTTTGGACAAATTAGATAAATTTTTGTACAGATTGCACAAAGTGCAGACATCTTCACTATCATACGACTTTCGAAGGCAGTCCCTAGATGCTGGGGAAGAAAATCTTCAGTAAAGAACTTGGTTCTACTCTCCTCCTTCAGATCAAACCTATTACCTTCCATTCCCCAGATGCTTTTTGAAACTTGGTATGATAGTATTTATTTGTTTTGAGTGTTAAAGTTCATTGATTTTATTGTTTATTGTTTTTAGTCTGTTTTTATTGTCTTGCATATATTCTCTTATACCCGTGAGTACCAAGATACTAGCAGATAGATTATTCTGTAAATGTTACAGCTACTTCCCCAAGACCCATTTGGGTATACCACTTACCCATAATTATATTAATAATTCACTGCTGTGCATAATTTCTTGATGTGGGCCCCCAAGGTTAACAATAAATTAACATTTAAATTTGTACAGTATATTTGTCACCAGTAACTTGATATACATTATAATTTACATTTTTATTAGGTATTTTGTAAATACTGTATAAATCAGTTATTTTGAAAAATGATAAATTGGCTAAATGTACAAACAGAAAGCTATAATATTAATTTATACTTTTTTGTAGATTAAATAACCAGTACTTTGTATTAATAATTAAAAAAAGTTTTGCAATTTAGCAATTTGTGGTGAATTCTAATATTTCAACAAGGTATTAATTAAAAGTTACATACATAAATACAAAAATGATTTATAATGTGTAGTACTGCAATAGAATGTGTTACTATGTATATTTTGTCGTAAAGAAGACTACTAGTTATATGGTGTTAAGATACTTTGAATATGGGTAGCCTCAAGTATTCATATATAGTCATTTTCTTCAGCAAACACAAATGGCAAAGTAATAACATCATTCCCCTCTAAAACTAAACTGACATTTCAACTATGCTATACATTTTAAGTCAGACATACAGATGCATATGTTATTGATAAAAAAATTAATACCTGTACCATTACAAATATAGTTAAAATTATGTCATGATCTATAAAAAGTTATTAATGGCTAAGACACATACATACTGCATTTACTGTGAAAACCAAAACTGCAACTACAGTATTTAACACAAAATATCCAATGAAAATCATGCTCATGTTTTATTTTGTTAATACAGTATAGTGTTGACTTCTGTGAAGTTATTTCCATTAAAACATTTAAGTTAAAATTATGTATGTAAATATGTATGTATACATACATACACACAGTATATATAGCACCATAAGTTCTGATTCTGGTGATATCCCACCATATGTAAAACAAACATTTTCTTTAATATATTTTTTATGATAAAATAGCATGCAGGAGCAAACCTTGACATTCCTGATGAATGTTTTACAAATGGATGGACTATGGCTGTTTTCTGTATTCACTGATATTCAGTGTATATTACACAACACTGCTGTGTTTACATTTCCATATGCATAACACATTGTGCAAAAGCATTCATGACTACTAAAGCAACAGCCTAACAGCATTATATAAAGAAACTACTAATATCTATCAAATAATGGCAACACATGCACCAATAAAATGCTGTCATTTAGAATTATAAGATACATGTAAGCATAAGAAATTTAAATTTGGTACGAAAATCGGACATCAACCTGAATAAACTAAATTTTGTATATTTGTCACTAGTCAAATTCATGTGAAGTGAGACCTAGCTGAATGCATCATTGTCGTCAGGATTTAAGATAGTTATATGTTACCTTAAGGCCACCTTAAGTAAGCATACTGAAATTATATCTGTATCATTACTTAAATATACATTTAGATTGGAAATCTTAATATTCTAGAACACACACCTGATAATTAATAACTTTTTAAGTTATGTATTTTCATTTCTTCCCTGGGGTCTAAACAAGAAGTGTTGCATTATGTATCTCTAAAAGCCACATTTATTGCCAACTCATTACACGATCATTGGAAAGAGTTAAATCCTCAAGAGTTATACAACTACCTCAGCTCAGTAACTGCTTTAGATCAAATTTTTTTTTAATACGATACGCTAAAGATATCTTTGAGAATCACTGGCAATGGATGTCTACAACCAGAATAGATTTTAGTTAAATTTTGTCATAATCATTAAAATATCAGTTGTTATACCTTTAGAATGAAGTGCAGCTTTTCATATAAGTTAAAAAAATGGTTTACAATATTATCTATATTTAACAATAACTTTTGTACATCGCATCATCCTGTTCAGTTCCTGACTGGTAATACTCTGTGAGTTTAAGATATAAACCAGATATAAATTTGGAGAAGCTAAACCATTACTCATGTTATCATAAGCAACAAGTCCAAGTTTTTAAGAATACATCGTATTCTCAATCCATTCTTCTAAGGTGAAGGTGGCACTTAAGGTTGCCTCTGGATCCCTCTCTTGGAAAATCTCTGTAACAAGGAAAAAGAAATTTTACCTTTTGCTAGGAATAAATCTGCTCCTGAGAAAGGTAAAATTGTTTTGCTTGAGTGGCACTATTTTTTGTTATGTAAGTCATATTAATTCAAACTGAATGCCATTTCAATCAAAAGTGGCATCTATTAAAGTTCAAACAAATTTCATGAAGCAAAAAACAAAACAAAAGTGTTACAAAAAAAATTAAGTTGAAGATTATGTCACTCCAATGCATTTTTCGAATGCTTGCCTTTATAGCAACTACTGTATCTTACATTACAGACTATATATTAGCAATATACTGGTAAAACTAATGATACATTGTAATCATGCTATTTTAGTATTGTAAATGGTAATACTCAAATATTTATTGTTTTGTGGATAAATTTTTAATAAACATGCAGAACATAGGAAAAAATGTTGCAAGAGTGGCATAATAAATAAGAATTATTCCAATGAACACTAAATACTTGTAATTAGAGATACATTAGTGTCAACTTGGTTCCTAGTATAGTTCTAGTTCATGCCTGTGTTCATAGTGTTAGTTTGTATTAAGTGCAGCACATTAACAGTGTTAAGTACACTACTCTGAAATTTTTATACAATTTATTAATAAGCATGAAAAGAGAAAGTGTTATGTGTGAGAAAATAATTACATAAATGTTAGTGAATTAAATTCATTCTTGCATAAAATATCCACTAAAAATTAAGTCAGATGTCCAAAAAGCTGTGAAAAAGACCCTGCATTCCAGCAACAGCTTCTAAATAGCCTGTAAATGTATAATTATAGGGAAGACGAGTCTGGTGCATGTTTCTCAACTGATATGCATAGAAAGCTGTGGCCACCACCACCATAGCACTCAGAAGCAATGTTAGGATCAATGATTCAGAGGCCTCAAGTTTTTACATTTCTTCTTTACGGATTCTGCATTGTCAGTTAGCTTAAATATTAACAGGTTTTAATATTTTTATATACAGGTGCCTCTTAATCCCTGACTTCATTGCATGCTACATTAATATTTTACATTTTCCAGTTAAGATTTTAGGGGTAGTAAAATTTCTGTGCTTTATTCTTCTATTCTTCTTCCTGATCTTCCTCCTGATCCTCCTCCTCTGGTCTATCCTCCACTTCAGCCATAAGTTCATCATAGAATTCTTGCAGTTTCTCTGGATCATCTTCAAGGCCTGTGGGTGGTGGTAACGACACACAGGTTCAAGATGAGGGATGAAGTGTCTAACGCATTACAAATTGCTCAAAATGAGAAGGACACTTCAAATGCTTTACACATCAGGGTTGGTGTTAGATAGGTACTTCAGGCATTTCATAAATGTAATAATAGTGCAGGAAAAGACAACTCATATTTTTACACACTTGGTCAGGACAAGGTTAACACTGTAGGAAATTCAAGAAAACTGAACATTAAGACTGATTCAATACTACCCGAAGAGCCAATATGATCTTTACAACAGTAAAGAAAGAAAACCCATGAATATGAGACAATGGGAATAAAAAGGATAATATAGACCAATATGTTGCACTATTTCTCTACAAATAAGGTGAAATCTACCATTTCAAAAGCAGAAACAAGATTTCTAATGATTAATTGATTTAGCTACCAAAAACAAAACTTACAATAAATTAAAATTTAATAAAGTAATAAACCTGGTGCAACAATTTATCCTGACCTTTTATTTCCTCAAAAGTATCTAAAAGGAACTCTTTTTTCACAAGTCAGAAAGTACATTTTTGTGCAATTTAATGACTGCAGCACATTCCTAAATCATAAAGTAAATCTTGGACAACTTAACCAGTAATTATGTTAACGATGACTATGATAGTCAGTATGCAATACTATATTTACTTCATTCTGGTAAGCAATAAAGCTAAAGCTATTATCATAAGAAACCAATGCAATATATTTCATATTTGTATTTCAAAGATCCATTATATATTCTTAGAAAATTTTACGATGAGAGGAGGAGGTAGCCATTTTCATATTGATATACAATACATTAATTGAAAATAAGACCATTTTTCAAAACATCGGCAGTATAAAAGTGCCTTAAGAATGATCAGAAAGGGCTCAGAGTAGATGTGTTTGTGCCCCATGCAACTGTTTTTGTTCCAGTCTTACCAAAACCATACATATGATCTGAGATTATTCTTTTTCAACTTAAGACATACACAAATGACCAAATATTATGGTGACATGAAATCAGGCAATTGTCAATAAGATATATATTTTAAGGGCTAACCCTGGTATGATAAAAGTTCTGTATTTTCTTTTTCTTTTTTAACAAGTTGGCTGTCTCCCACCGAGGCAGGGTGACAGACGGCCAACTTGTTTAAAAAAAAAAAAAAAAAAAAAAAAAAAAAAACGAACTTTTATCAGATAACCAGGGTTAGCCCTTAAAATATACATCTTACTGATAGTTACATGATTTCATATGTCACCATAATATCTGGTCATTTGTGTATGTCTTAAGTTGAAAAAGAATAATCTCAGATTATATGTATGGTTTTGGTAAGACTGGAACAAAAACAGTTGCATGGGGCACAAAACATACCTACTCTGAACCCTTTTTGATCATTCTTAAGGCACTTTTATGTTGCCAATGTTCTGTATACTGGGATTTAAATATTACGTGTTGAGAGGAGTCCACATGTGCACATCCCTCCAATCAACCCATTGCTCATGATGGTGATGTTAGGTGAGCATGGTCAATGGGTGTAAGGAAACTTGCTCCAATGTTTCACCTTGCTCAGGATTTCACCCTAGAGTCTATCGAGTGTGACTCACCACTTACTTAAAAAGATGTTCATTATGTAAACCCTGAAAGTATTAACCCGTAAACGGTCCAAGCAGATCTACGTTCACATGTGTAGTGCTACAAAAGTAGATCTAAGTTTTTTTACATATTTTCAAATATATAAAATAAAAAAAGTAGATCAAAGTTTTTTTACACATTTTCAAATGTAAAAAAACAAAAAGATCTACTTATTTACATACTTTCAAATGTTGAAAAAACGTATATAAACGTTTGGACCGTTTACAGGTTAATGATATGGGTAACTGGACACCTATGATGTCTGGAAAAAAGCAGAGAAGATATAACTTACAATTAGTGGTGTACCAAAGTGCCAATATCAGTAGGTAGTGGCTAATTTTTATTAGGGGTGTGTCAAAGTATCGGTATCAACCTAAAACTGAGTACTGGCATTTGCAAAAATTTTGGTATCACTCCATCCTTACTCAAGTGATATCCTCTAAATTTTTTCTTAATCTTCCACTATTTAAGGGCCCATATTTATGCAATTCATCAGACTAGCTGGATGGTAGAATAATAATATATTACTGAGTTTGTTGATAACAGTAGTTAAATAAGTGAAGCAAGGATAATGTGGAGCAAGAATTCTTTAATATCAATTATTTTCCATAAAGGGTAGTGACCCAAAGAAAGGAAACATATTCACCATTACTCATTCTCTGACTATCTTACCAGAGATGCATAGACATAATAATTGAAATGATCCTGTGAAAGACCACATGCCCACCTAGTCTTCCGAGTGCTTTCCACCTTCAGAACTTGAGTTTAGGTTTAAACGAATTCTACTGACTCCAGACCATAATAAAACAAATAACAATTTGAAAATGAAAGTAACTAACACTCCTCATTTTCAGATGATCAAAAGGAAACCAAAAAAATTCCTGTTATAAAAGTATCCTTGGTAAAGGATAAATAGAATTAATTTAGGTATCAGTGGTTATACACCATTGTCAAAATTTGTGAAAGACGTATTTACCAAACTTGTGTGTCTGTTCCAAACTTGTGTGTCTGTTCCAAACTTGTGTGTCTGTTCCAAACTTGTGTGTCTGTTAAACAGTTTTACTTTACAAGGTGTTCTCAGCAATCACCAACAGTCTGACTGATCAGATAGTGGGTCCCTCTGGATGACTTGCAAGGGTTTAGTGCTTTGTGAAATAGTAACAGAATATAACACAAGGATGCAATACAAAATACACAGTAATAATAATAAACCTAAAGAAATATAACAGAAATAATTTAAAGAATGTGCATACATAGAAAAAATCTGCAGAGAATGTAGAGGAGGAAAAAAACAGCAAATCTGGACCAAAAATATCTTCACTGATTTAAAAGCCCTCCATGAATGTGTTAAAATTTATTAAAATTGTTCTGTATTTAAGAAAATTATAATTATAAACACAGGTTAATATTGAAGAATTTTGAATAACTATAATATGTGTTTATGCATAAAACTTAGGAATTTTATTTCAGGAAAAGCATCTTATGGTAAACTAATATTTCTTTCACAAACAATCATAATTCACAAGATTTTGGATAAAAGACAATAATGCATTACTTCAAAAGACAAGCCGAGTTATATTAATCTATTCATCATGCTCAGGAAATGTCAATGAGAGTTGTTTCCTGGCATAACATACTCTGTATTATATAGTATGATGAATATTATGTAAAAAATTATCAATTGTTGAATTATTGTTTGAAGGCAGTGCTGTATGACCCTTGTAGGTTTAGCACTTACTTCTGATTGTATTATATTATTATTGTTTGAAGGCTTTTAATTTTGCTTAATATTAAATTTTAAAATCATCTATGATGAAAAAAACATTAATCATTATATAATGAATATAGTATGTTGAGTTTTGTCATATACTTTATTTATAATGAAAAATAAAATAGTAATTACTATAAAACGCTTTATCGAGGTTTATCTTATTTCAATATTTTATCAAATGAATTCCAGAAACCTTCATTAATACTGTAATTAAATCTTTTTAATACCTTATTCCCTTTGCAAAAAGATATAATCTAATAAAAGATACCAGTAATGATACATACCCATCATTGTTTTGAGCTTCACAGAACACATTATGAAATCATCAAAGGAAATCCTTCCTTCCTTGTCACCGTAGCGGAGTGTAAGAGCATTGCAGATGTGGTTGTTCAGGCGGTAACCAGCAGAGTTTAGTGCTTGCCGAAGCTCAAAGGAGCACAGAAGGCCAGAACTGTCCTTATCATAAAGCTTGAAGGCATTCTGTCAAAGAGGAATATAAGCATGTTCAACGTTAACATTCAAATGTGTAAAGTAAAAGGACACAAGTGCAACTAATGTGACATTTTATTGTGGCAACGTTTCGCTCTCCAGGAGCTTTATCAAGCCATTACAAACAATACATGGACACAGAGGGTATATAAAGGCTCAGAGTGAGGTGCAATATTAGTGAGGTACCATTTCGATGTTCACTAGTGGTAGCAGTAGTAGGAGTAGTGACAAAAGTAATACAATATGGTAGAGCAATTAATTCGTACATGAGTAAAAGGATACGAATTAATTGCTCTACCATATTGTATTACTTTTGTCACTACTACTACTACCACTAGTGAACATCGAAATGGTACCTCACTAGTATTGCACCTCACTCTGAGCTTTTATATACCCTCTGTGTCCATGTATTGTTTGTAATGGCTTGATAAAGCTCCTGGAGAGCGAAACGTTGCCACAATAAAATGTCACATTAGTTGCACTTGTGTCCTTTTACTTTACATATTGTTGGTAATTCTACCAACTTTATTACAACATTCAAATGTCTCATTCTCCATAACATACAGGGCTATCAACTAGTAAACCATACCATGGGTGCGGCTTGAACCCGCGGTAGTGTTACAAAACTCCAGACCGATGTGTCAGCCACTAGGCCAGCTGGCTACAATAAGATTCATCCATGATTCACCTACAATTTTATGAGCTATCAAATAATACTCTTGAAAGAGAAACCTTAATAAAGTAATATTTGTTAAGAGCACTTACACAAGCCTGTTGCATGTGATCATTTGTATTATGAGTTTTTATAAATATAAATAAGTACAACATTATCACTGGTCTCGTACTCTAAAAAATCAAATTTCTGCAGAATAAAAACTTTGGCCTCCTGCCATTATGCATGACATATCTCTGACCTGTTTTGAAAAAGTCTAACTAGATTGGCGAGCTACTGCAAAGTTTCCCTGCCTGGAGGAATTATGTTTAATAGTCAAGTGTTTCTTCAGTGTTGAGCTATGTTGTTACTGTTAATACTGTGCAATAATTAACAGATCTAATGTTCAGTAAACCCTGACTGTGAACATAAACACTGATTTTGAAAGGAAATGATGCTTCAAAATACTGACAGTAGTCAGCATTTTGAAGCAGCTCCAGTTTGTGGGTCAACTGACATTTTTCTAGATTAACAAAGTACGTACTAATAAAATCAATTGTTAAATTATAACGTTTGGCAAGTTATTTTCTTAAATCTTTCCAATATCTATGACCTGGACATCTTCACACATGCACTATTACAAATATAGTATTACACAGTAAACCCTAGGTTACATTCTCAGAAGATAGCTCAAAAGCCAAAACCACAAGTATAACCATAAAGCCTCAAGACATGCCCACACTGACAAATGGTTCCCCAGTCCTTGTTGTTCTAAAATATTTATAGTTTTAAAATAAAAAATACTGTACATCTATACGGTATTATGTACCATACACTGCAAGAAAGTTTCATAAGTGTTCCTACACTGGCTCTATTGTACTGGATGGCATCTTACAGATGAGTGCATGGAACTGTGAATACCAAAGGTTATTCATGGCATTGTCTTACCAAAAATACAGCACACGGTCAATTTCTGTGAATACTTTCACAACAGTACTGTGACCTTTTATATCAAAATTACAGTACTTACCCTGTATATTATACTGTATGAACATTTTAAAAAAGGATCTTGATTAAATATTTTCAGAAAGATTCTCACCTTCCAGATCCTGATATCTGTCCACAGTTGTAGGAATTCTTGAAGGCCAAGTTTACCTGAGCGGTCTACATCCATCATGGCAATCATGCTGCGACATACATCCTTGCTGAATCCCTCAAAGTTGAACTCTGTTTTAAACACACAATGGAGTTAGCAAGATACTGTACAGACATACAAGATGATGGCACTGCAAAAATATATCTACAAAAAATTACTGTATAAGAAAGTTTTGGCACAGTATTATACATTAAGAGAAAAGAGAAATATTTCTGGGCCATCAACCAAACTGTGACACAGTATTGTATATTAGTTTTTTTTTTTTTTGAAAATAAAGAGAAATGTTACATTAATTTTCTACATTTTTCTATCCAAATAATTTTTGAATTATTACATAAAATAATTTGCTATTAAGAATATACTGTACTATGGGCTCTAAAATGCTATTGGGGGGCTTACTTTACAAAATACACATAAATAAATAAATAATAATGAGAATAGATACCATACATCATGCTTTTTTAGCCATAACTTGCAGTCTTGCCTTATATGGCAAATTTTATTTTGTAAAGCAAACTAAATTTATACTTATTTTTACTATAGCTTCATCAATGAAGGTGCCTTGATGCTAGTGAAGGGCCTTTGATTCAAGGAATTGGACTTGGATTGAACCTACTTGCCTCCAATTCTCCAGGTGTTTGTTTATGACTCTTACAGCTGTAGTGCTTTACCATGAGCAGAATTTGTATTTTGTTATGCCTCCTAGAAAATCACTCTGATTTTTAAGGTGTGTATACATACATGTACATACACACATACTCACACAGAGGAGCTGTGACTTGACCCCTGCAACCACATAAAGGTAAGTACACACACACACACACATATGTGTGTGTGTATTTCTTGATAAAATTTGACTCTTTGAACTGCTCTGGCAAAAAAAGCATAACATACACTGCATACATACTACATTTTAAGTGCATATCCAGTAGTACACCATTTTTCCAGAATTGTCTTTGACTTTTGTTATTAACAAATAAAATATGCTTGTTAGGCTCTGAAGATAAAAATCCACATGAAAGGGAGAAAGGAAAATGGCATCACACCAGAAGTATTTTTCTTTAGTCATGGGATAACCTCAGCATGATACTATACTGTCCTCCTGTCTTTAGAATTCACCGAGGAATGTAAAGATTTATATTCCAAATTACTGTGATGATACGTCAACTCAGGATTGCAATTCTGTGCCTGTCCTGAATGCTAGTGACTGTGATGATGGTAAAAATGGTAAAAACAAGTTACATACTGTGAGAAAAGCAATGAATTTCAGGGAAGCAACGTATCACCAGAAAAAGCATGGTCACTGCTTCTCATACATTTATTATGTATGAGCGAGTGATAGAGAGAAATCATTATCAACTGCTGATGTCAGCTGTGTGCGCAGCAAATTTGTTTAAAAAAAAAAAAAAAAAAAAAAAAAAAAAAAAAAAAAAAAAAAAAAAAAAAAAAAAAAAAATGGTAGGAGGGATGTAACTGATGCTTTTATGTGCAAGTTTATAATGAATACAGTAACCTAAATAAGTATCTTAATATAAATAACTTATATAAAATACTTTACAGTGTAATGTAAATTTCTAATCTTATATTCACTGTAATCACTATAGACAGATTTTTCAGGATTACGAACAGTTCTAGGTGCAAGCAATTCTGGGAAAAATAGTGGATTACTCTATATACATTGCTTTATTAGTATGTTTAACAAAGTCAAATATTTCATTGGGTACAGTAGTAAGATAAATGGAATCGTAAGAAAATTTTTGTAAAGTATTATAATATATTGGCTGGAAAATTTACTTAATGCTATTATTTACAGTTTTATCTTAGGACATTTTAGGTTATGAGTAAAATTAGAAGATATGGCTTTAGAAATAAAACACCATGGAGAGAGAACTTACATATAGAGGAGAAAACATAAGTGAAAAAGAGGGTTTGCTCTGTACACTTATTTCTGTACACTTATATCTCCTCAAGGGAGGTGCCTCTATGCTGGTGAGGGCTCTTGATCCAGAGAACTGGACTTATCCTCCCCTTCCTTGGATCAAGCCTGAATGATTCCCATTCCCCAGGTGCTACATGACCCCTTCAGTGCTACTCCAATTAAAAAAAAAAAAAAACCTACACTAATATATTACACTGACAAATTATTGTATCAAGTAACAATGATACAATAGACAAAAAGCATTTGTGTATAAAAACTTTGAAGTTTGCAAGTGCTGAAATATGTCCATATTTCATCGAATACTACTAGTCTATACACAGTGGTGCATTTCTTGTGTGTAAAATATGAGGAAATTATGAATGTTAGGCTACCAAACTGCCAGTAAATACAAACCCTTAAAATTTCTTTGCATAATGAATTTATTGTATTTGACACTTAACACTGGATGTAGAGCAGAATAAAGTAAATACTGAAAATATGAAGAATGACCAAAAACTACATAATTTAAGCCTCTGTCAAGAGGCTTTAATCCATTGTAGGCGATTTAAAATTTAGTAACATTTATTTTCAGGTGAAACATGTTTACAGTATTTTATAAAAATTTTGGTAGTCCTAACATGCTTAACGTGACTTGATTTATTTGTAGAAGCCCCAATACCTTCATGCCCTTAGGAGTGATGGGAAAGTATGGTACAGTACTATATTCTAACTTTTGGTCGAATACACTTGAGCATTATGACCTTAGTATACATTAATTTCATTTTTTTTATTAGTTACAACTCATATAATTTTATCTTTACTTGAGATGCATCATCTTAATCAAGCAAACAGAATTTATAAACCAAAAAATCCTTTTTGTTTCCATCTTTGATGAAATAGTTTTTCAATTTTATTTTGTCAGCTTAAGATGAGTTACAAAAAAGTATGTCATCTTTAGTCATGATTATAGTATGATCTTTCCAGCATTACTAAATATTTTCTACTAAGGCAATGGATAACCAAGAAAAAAAAATATGGACAGTCACTTGCTCACTAGCTGCCTTTCCAGGATTACACAGACATCACACAGTGCGATGGTGCCCCACCAGACAGCAATTTTCTGCATAACATCAAAATGCTGTGTTTTGAGCTTTCAAAACTCAAGTTCAGCTAGCTGTTTTCCTTAAAACCCATTCAAAAACATTATCATGTACATATTCAAAACACATCAAATCCCAAAGACCACTCAAACACACACACACACACATATAGTATATTTAAAATGTTCAAACCTTTACCTCTTAAAACATACTGTAGCTCTTTGACACCCTCCTTCCAACCCTTTGGCCATTTCCTATATCACTTTCCATCTACACCAGACTCAATCATTTTCAACTGATACATGCACATAAAGGCAGTGTCTTTGACTGACTAAATAACATACGAAATCTGGACTAGTGACTTCTAGCAAGGTAAATGCTCTCATTGTGCAAAGCAAGAACCAAAAGTTTGAATAAATTTTAAAGATAGATATAATGACTGCCCATCTTCCTCTTTTGAAAAACCATCACCATCATGGATCACATAACATGCAAGGCTGTGTAGTGTGTGCTAGACTCCCTTACCGAACTCTGTTGATCGATGTCAGGACAACACATGAAACACAACATGTAAATTAGAATGTAGCTGTATGTTTCAGAACAAAATCTGATGGGTGCTAAAACAGATTCATTTGTGCACAGAGAGAATATTTTCATTACATAAGATTCATAAAAGCATAGGGAATAACCTCCATACAATACATTAATTCAAATATGACAAAACCCATAGAATTAGGGATACATCACACCATCTAAGGCTCAGGAGCTGCTTCTATATTCCTGCAAATGCAAATAGGTAACATTAAGACTGGGAAGACCTTTTACATTGCAGAAGGTCTTGACTCACAAAAGCGTAATGGCACTATTGTAAACAAACCATACCATGAACCAGTGGTTAGAGTCGTAAAACTCCAGACCAACCCGTTAGCCACTGGGCCAACTGGCTACAATAAGATTCATCCAACTAGGTATATTTATACATCATAGGTAGGTTAGCCTAGGCACCACTGGCTAACGTGTCAGTCTGGAGTTTTACGACTCTCTAACCATGGGTTCAAGTCCTGCCTATGGTATGGTTTGTAGAAGGTCTGACAGACAAGGTAAAAAAATGTTACCAATGAGGTTGGTATAGAATAAGCAAAATCCTATTACTGTAAGCTACATTACTACCAGTATGCAAAATACCACAGTGAAAAAATAATGAAATTCCAAATGCTTTCTTGATTTCTCACATTATTATGCCTTGATAATTTAAGAAATCACAAAAGCACTTTGAATTTCACCATTTTTTCAATGGTTATTTTGCATATTGTGATATCACCTGTTTACTGTGATCTTATTGCATCACTACCAGTGTATCACAAAAATTATTGAAGAAGTCTATTGCTTAAATACAATTTAAAAAATAAAGCCTTTGATAACAGATTCCTGTGAGACTTATTGGAAACTACAGAGAATGTAGGAGGAATAAAAGGAAAATGTATACTGTAGACAAGAAGGTTTCTAATTGAAAGGAAAATGGAGAGTTGTTACAAGGAAAAATATCCTTATGGGAAAAAAGTCACCAGCAGGGCCTCCCAAGAATATGAAAAAAATAAATTCTGACTTAGCACTATCAACAATGAGATGAAGAGGCTATAATGCTACAGTGACATAAGGAACATCCTTTTTCTTATGCATAAACCACAGACTTGTTTGTGTGCAAGTAATGAAAATTTAAAGTTTCACAGGGATCCTAACCCCTAACAATTCATTTGTTTCGAAACCTTTAATATATGTACTAGTGTCTTCATTCTTTACCATAATTAATATTTTTTTTTTATTAACACATCAGCCGATTCCTACCAAGGGCAGGGTGGTCCGAAAAAGAAAAACTTTCATCATCATTCACTCCATCACTGTCTTGCCAGAGGGGTGCTTTACACTACAGTTATAAAACTGCAACATTAACACCCCTCCTTCAGAGTGTAGACACTGTACTTCCCATCTCCAGGACTCAAGTCCGGCCTGCCGGTTTCCCTGAATCCCTTCGTAAATGTTACTTTGCTCACACTCCAACAGCACGTCAGGTATTAAAAACCATTTGTCTTCAAATAAATAATTTGTGTGCATTTATCATAATTTACTTTTACTACAGTAGTATAGCTTTGGGAGGTCTAATTTCACTTAATATGTCAATGAAACTTAACCAATAATCTACTGTGTTTTTCAGTAGGTTATATTTCAACATTAATATTACTTTCACAATGTCATAAAACAAAGATAAACAAAAGGGGACTTGGAAGTCTACATACAGCTATCTGCTCAGAAGAACTACCTACCTCTCTCTAGATTAAGAGTCATCTATTATCCTGTCACCCTGTATACCTTGTACATGTTTTTTTTTTTTTTTTTTTCAACAAGTCGGCCGTCTCCCACCGAGGCAGGGTGACCCAAAAAAGAAAGAAAATCCCCAAAAAGAAAATACTTTCATCATCATTCAACACTTTCACCACACACATGTACTTGTAGTAAATAAAGATATTACATTATTATTATTATTATTATTGGGTCACCCTGCCTCAGTGAGAGATGGCCGACTTGTTGAAAAAAAAAAATTATTATTATTATTAATGTATTCCGGTATTTGGGAGATGACTTGTCAGCAGATGGGTCTATGAAAGACAAGATGATTCATAAAATTGATGAGGGGAAAAAGGTGAGTGGAGCACTGAGGAATCTGTAAAGACAAAAAACATTATCCCTGGAAGTAAAGAGGGGAATGTATGAGAGTATAGTGGTGCCAGTGCTCTTATATGGGTGTGAAGCATGGGTGGTGAATGTCACAACAAGAAGGTTGGAGGTAGTGGACATGTCGTGTCTAAAGGCAACATGTGGCGTGAATATAATGCAGAGAATCCATAGCATGGCGATTAGAAGGAGGTGTGGTGTTTCCAAAAGTACTATCCAGAGGACAGAGGATGGGCTGTTGAGGTGGTTTGGACATCTAGAGAGGATGGAACAAAACAGAATGACTTAGAGGACATATAAATCTGTAATGGAAAGAAGATGGGGTAAGGGTTGTCCTAAGAAAAAGTGGAGGGAGGGGTGTCGATATGTTGCAGTTTTTTTTTAAATGTAGTGTGGGCAAGACTGGCAAGATAGTGATGGGGTGAATGATGATGAAAGTGTTTCTTCCTTTTCTGGTCACCCTGCTTTGGTGGAAATGGCCAATGTGTTAATAAAAAAAAAGAAATAAAAAAAATCTATTATCTAGGTATATGGGTCACAGATAGAAAAGCAGAAGGCTCTCTCCATTCCTTTGGCCACTGCTGGTATGAAAACAGGGAGAAAAATACACTATGTCATATTAAAAATGATATGGAATTTACAGAAGGATGGAAGGCCATGAATTACTACAATGAAAAACTGTTTTACACTGAAATACTGACTCTAAAAGGTAAACAAACCATGCACAATACCTAAATTTGTCATCAACCAAAATGTTTGGCTACCTCTCTATACCCAGTGTGACACAGTACATCTATTGGTCTACTCACTACTATTTTGCACATCCACAAAACTAGTTAAACCATGCAAAATCCTCAACTTTATTTTTTGCAAAACACATGCCAAAAACTTAAAGCATATTATTAACATACTCATAAAGTTACAGAATGTAATAAATTTTCCCCAAATATAAATGTATGTATATTGTATTAAACTGATGTGTGGTTTACATTTGTCTCTTAATATTGCTTTTGAAATTATATTAATTCTTTCAGGGTCGAGACAGGCACCTGATCTCAAACTTGCCCTCAGAGTTGAAGAAGGTAATTAAACCAGAAGTATGAAATTTGATGGAAAACTTATGGAATTATGCTCTTGCAAAGTTAGCAGTTTCGGCGATATTTATGCATTAGTGATTTTTGCCCACTTCGAGCCCTATTTTCGGCCAATTCCATTGTTCCAGTCGACCAAACTCAAAGCTATTTCCTTATTGTATTCCTTCTATTCTATCGACTGAATACAAAAAAACCACCCATTTATCTATTTCAGCTACCCAATAAGTTATCAGAAATCGGCAATTTGGCCAATTTCACAAAAAAAAAAAAAAAAAAAAAAAAATGCCAATTTAAAAATAGGATGCAAAATAAACAACATAGACATTCATGGCACTGTAAAACATTTCTTCTGTTCATTAGTTATGACCCCAGGCCTCTCTCATATTATGCTTGCTTTTCATTTTTAATTTTTATTGTTATGCATTATTGTGATAATTGTATAAATAATGTCAGTGCATTCCTAAATGCATTTTAGACTGTCCAGTTGGACATGTATTGGACAAAAGACATCATTTGTGTACTCTGGAATATCAGCAAAAATCAAACATTTCTACTACTTTGAGCTCAATTTCAAACTACTTGCAGTCCTGAAACTCATCAAAATCATTTCTATTTCTGTAATACATCTTCCATTTTATCAAATGAGACCAAGAAACTGAGAATGTAACCATAAAACCATACAAAAATACACTCGAAGCTGCTGTTTTCAACCAAAAACACAGATGCAATTTTTTTTCTTCATTATATACAGCTTGCTGCATGATTTTTTTTATATGGTGCACACTTATGGTACAGACCCAATCTCGTCTCTAGGCTCAAATTTACCACTCACAGCTTATTTGAGCGAGCTGAGCTCATGGTGTAGAACTATGGGACCGATGATGGCTTCAAAGCCTTAGTACAAAGGGACCAACACCAAATGTAGTAATGAGAATAGTGTAGGTCTTCAGTGAATGTGACTGAATTGTAAAGCTGCATACTACTACACACTTTTCTGCTACCCTTTGCATGTCTTGGCTCAGTATTTTTCACATTTTGCCAGAACATCAGCAATAGTGTTATCCTACAGAAATATCCATGGAGTCAGTTTCAAACATAGTAATGTACTATATTCAAAGACCCCTTAATTTTAGAAATATTCTTTGTCAAAAGAACAAATAAAACTAAAGACAACATGACAGTCTGTTAAGAACATGACTCTTAATTGACAGCAACATCATAAAAAAAAAGCCAAAAAAAAAAAGATTTAACATGACAGTCACTAACAAACTGGGCTTTACACTTTATGTAAACACAGGAAAACTGTGACGGCTGATCTAAAAACCTTTTTGAATCATATAAGTAATATGATCATGGTATCACACACTGACCTCTCTTGAGAGCAAAGTTAAGTACATCCTGCAACTCCTTCCAATCAATCTCCAGGTCTTCTCCTGCCACCTTCCTGAAGAACCCACGAATCCTCTCATCTACCTCAGGCTCCTGAGATTCATCTGCCTCTGGCCGTACCTTCAAGATAACGGTGAAAATAAATAAACAATAATCTAACACATTTATCAATTAAAATTTGGAATTTGGCATAAAACAGTGTACTGTATTATATAACTGACTTCCTCCTATATACATAACATCTAGCTCTAAAACTATCTCACTCTTAAAGAGCCAGGTAGTAATAATATAGGTAGATCAGTAGTAATAATATATTCTTTTTCACTGCTTCTGTGGAAAGGAAAATGCTAAATACAAAAATGAATACAGTAGGACCCCTGTATCCTCAGATTCGGTTTCTGTGGTTTCAGTTATACATGGTTTATTATGGCCTGAAAATAACCCTTAATTTTGCTTAATAATGACCACAAATGTAGTGATGATGGTAGTTTATCATAGCCCAAGAGAAGCCATGAAGTGCTTCCCATCAGTGAAAAAGTGCTGATTCTCCACTTTTGTGCATAATTTATCAATTAAACTTTATCATAGGTATGTACGTAAACGGAAAAAAAAAAAGAATTATCAATAGGGATCGCTACTATTTGGGGTTTCGGGTATCACCTGCGGATATGGGAGGGGAATGCTGTACTTGTATAATGGTACAGGTATAAACCCTTAAATTTGGCACCCTTAACACTAACACCATAGTAGTTTTCAGATTTCCTCTTGCAGGTCTAGTGCTTAGTTATGATTATAATAATTCAGATTTCCCAGTAATAAGGAATTAAAATCAGCTATCCTACCTTTGGCTTAATTTCCTGGGGAGCCTATGTGGTATTAAATAATTTAGATGAAGCCAAAGAGCAACTGTAGAGCTGTTAAGCTTAGTTCATCCAACTAAGTTATCGGTCATTTTAAGTCACATTTATCACTCTTATACTGTATAAGAAAAAGCTGTATTACATGTACACTCTGTACTTAAAAGAGGTGCAGAATAATGTTTCTGATGAGCCATTAGTACACAGTTACAGCATAGTGTGCCCAAAAATAAATATGCTTTTAGGCTTCAAAATGTACTGAGTTTTTTTGTATTGGTGATTCACTTCCTCTTAGATGGTGTACTGCAAACTATCATTAAGTTTAAAACTTAGATTTTATGATAAGTGATTAATTGATATCTCCCAACAATCAAAATTTACATACATTATTTCTATAAATGCATAATTTAGAGAAAACAACAAAGAATAAGGGTTTTAAACAAACAAATACATAAACACACTATGCAGTGGACATGGTACCACAAAACAGTCGAAAGCAATTAGTGTATGACTCCCATCCATATTCTGTATTAAATTACAAAACTACAGTGTATCATTAATGATCAAAAACTGAGCAGAGTAGCAAAAAGATGAAAGTCTTTATTTCAATCTTTGCAACTCCATGACTGACCAACCTCTTTAATTCTCGACACTGAACAGACATCACACAGTTTGTATTTTGTAGCATGTAAGATTTAATGATTTTCAGAGTTCAATAGCAAACATCCTTCACTAGTGAAACAACATTCAGCCATCTGTCATCCTCAGTAACACTCCTTTAACTTTCTTCAAACAGTATTTCAGAAGCCAAACACGTATTTATAAACTATTTGTAACCACCTAGTGTGTACTCTACATACGCCCTTATGACTCTCTCGCAACTCCGTCCATCCCACTGGAAGAGAAACACCTGTCAACTAGTTTTTCCAGGTGCAGTTGGACTACAAGCGACGAATTTTTCTTAGCCGCACACAGACTATAAATGGTCAATTCAGTATTCTATGTAGTAATTTGAAATCACAGAAAACTGCTGTTACATTCAGGTAAGTACAACTTACCAAAGTTCTTATTTCTTAGAAAATACTCTACATCAGTGGGTGGGCTCAAACTTTTCAACTCCCTATGTGTCTGGTGTTCTTCAATGAATGCTTATAAGAAGTAAAATTGATAGTATGAATGATGGCAAAAGTTTTTCTCTTTAAGGTCACCCTTCCTCAGTGGGAGACGGCCAGCATGTTTAAAAAAAAAAAAGTGCTAAACCCATAAGGGTCTTATAGTGCTGCTTTCTTTTTTAAGGCTAGTTAACTGCCTACTCTATAAATGCAAGCATCAAGCAACAAAACAGAATGACTTCGAGAGTGTATAAATCTGTAGTGGAGCGAAGGCGGGGTAGGGATCGCCCTAGGAAAGGAGGGAGGGAGGGGGTAAATGAGGTTTTGTGTGTGAGGGGCTTGACTTCCAGCAAGCATGCATGTGTTAAATAGGAGCAAATGGAGACAAATGGTTTTCAGGACTTGACGTGCTGTTGGAGCGTGACCAAGGTAACATTTATGAAGGGATTCAGGGAAACCGGCAAGCCGGACTTGAGTCGAGGAGATGGGAAGTACAGTGTCTGCACTCTGAAGGAGGGGTGTTAATGTTTAAGTTTTATAACTGTTGTGTAAATGCACCTCTGGCAAGACAGTGATGGAGTAAATGATGATGAAAGTTTTTCTTTTTTGGGCTACCCTGCCATGGTGGGAGAAGGCTGATGTGTTGATAAAAAAAAAAATAAAAATCCTCTTCATTCTTTCTAACAGAAATGTTATTTGTTAAATATTACATACATTAGATATTGTGGAGCAGTGCTGTGTGACCCTTTTGGGTTTAGCACTTAAATGATTATAACAGCATAAATTGTGTAAGGTTGTATATTTAGCATACAGTACAATTTGAACAAGAGATTTTTCAACTTGAACCAGAATCTTATTAATTTACCACTATTTGATTTTTTTTTTTCCAGTACTGATTCATGATGGTGACTGGGCTAATCTATAATTTCACTTTCCAATCATCTTCAAATTTCTCTAAAAATTTCTTGTTTCTCTGTTATCTCATTCCTGTCCTGTATTCGACTGACAAAGTAGGCCTACTGTGTAGGCGAAATGTTTAGGAATAAAGATACCTAACTGCTGAACATGTGTTTTACTTATGAAAGAGTTAAATTAAAATGCTTTTATGTTTTCTATTTTTTTTTTTTTTTTTTTTTTTTCAACAAGTCGGCCGTCTCCCACCGAGGCAGGGTGACCCAAAAAAGAAAGAAAATCCCCAAAAAGAAAATACTTTCATCATCATTAAAACACTTTCACCACACTCGCAATTTCACTGTTTTTGCAGAGGGCCAAATACAACAGCCCCAGAAGCAAACATATAAAATACACAACATACCCTCCAAACTGCCAAATCCAAACCCCTCCTTTAAATGCAGGCATTGTACTTCCCCCTTTTCCGGGAAATCAAGTCGACTATATAAAAAACCGGTTCCCTAATCCCTTCACTAAATTTTCCCCTCTCAAACTCCAACAGATCTCGGGTTTTCCCAAGTCCATTCGTTCCATTACTCCTATCTAACACCCACGCACGCTTGCGGGAAATCCAACCCCCCTTACCCACAAAACCTCCTTCCCCCTCTCTAAACCCTTTCGGGAAACCCCTACCCCCTTCCTTCCCCCATAGATTTATATGCTTTCCATGTCATTCTACTGTGATCCATTCTCTCAAATGACCAAAAACCCCCCAACCCAAACCCCCCTTTTTTGCCCTCGACTAATCTTTTTATTAAACTCCACACCTTCTCCTAATTTCCACATCCGAATTTTTTTCATAATATTTACACCACAATTGCCCTTAGACAGGACATCTCCCCTGCCTCCAAACCCCTCCTTTCGTGCATTTACCCCCCAAGCTTCACACCCATAAAAGGGTTGGGACTTTTAACTTTTTATACATTCCCCCCTTTTTTTTGCCCCCATAGATAACGTTTTTTGACCCACAATACCTAAAAACACCCTACCTTTTTTCCTCATCAATTCTATGTTTTAACCCCCCTTCATAAAACCATCCCCGACACGTCAAATCCCAAGTATCTGAAAACATTTACTTTTTCCATACTCCTCCTCCCAATTTGATACCAATTTTTTTTTATCTAAATATTGACCCCTCATCACCTTACTCTTTTTTTGTTTACTTTCAACTTTCTCCTTTACACACATTCCCAAACTCTTTCCCCAAAATTTGCAATTTTTTTAGAATCTCCCATAAGCACATTCATCAGCAAAAAGAACGTGTCAATTCCCATTTTGAATTTGATTCCCCCTAAATTTAATCCCCCCCCTCCCCAAACCCTGCATTTACTTTCCTTTTCAACCCCATCTATAAAAATTAAACAACCCTGGTGACATTCCACCCCTTTAAGACCTACTTTTACCGGGGAAAGTCTCCCTCTCTTCACACACCCCAACCTAGCCTCACTTCCTCATAAAAAAACTTTACAGCATTTTTAAAAACACCACCTTTCCATATACTTGCAACATTGCCACATTGCCCTCATCCCCTCTATCATATCCTTTTTTAAAACCTAAAGCAATAAAAACCTCCCTACTTTTCTAAATACTGTTACATATATCTTCAATGTAAACACCGATCTACACATCCCCTACCCACTCTAAAAAACCCCCTTGCTCATCCGCAATCCTACATTCTGTCTTACCTCTAATTCTTTCAATTTTAACCCTACCGTACACTTTTCCTGGTATACTCAGTAAGCTTATTCCTCTGTAATTTTACAGTCTCTTTTGTCCCCTTTCCCTTTATATAAAGGACTATACATGCTCTCTGCCAATCCCTAGGTACCTTCCCCTCTTTCATACATTTATTAAACAAAGTACCAACCACTCCAACACTATATCCCCCCTGCTTTTAACATTTCTGTCATGATCCCATCAGTTTCCAGCTGCTTTACCCCCTTTCATTTTACGTAATGCCTCACGTACCTCCCCCACACTTACATTCTGCTCTTCTTCACTCCTAAAAGATGGTATACCTCCCTGACCAGTGCATGAAATTACTGCCTCTGTTTCTTCCTTAACATTTAAAAGTTCCTCAAAATATTCTCGCCATCTACCCAATACCTCCATCTCCCATCTACTAACTCCCCTACTCTGTTTTTTAACTGACAAATCCATATTTTCCCTAGGCTTTCTAACTTGTTTAACTCGCTCCAAAATTTTTCTTATTTTCATTAAAATTTCTTGACAGTGCCTCTCCCACTCTATCATCTGCTCTCCTTTTGCACTCTCTCACCACTCTCTTTACCTTTCTTTTACTCTCCATATACTCTGCTCTTCTTATAAACACTCTGCTTTGTAAAAACCTCTCATAAGCTACCTTTTTCTCTTTTATCACACCCTTTACTTCATCATTCCACCAATCACTCCTCTTTCCTCCTGCCCCCACCCTCCTATAACCACAAACTTCTGCCCCACATTCTAATACTGCATTTTAAAACTATTCCAACCCTCTTCAACCCCCCCACTACTCATCTTTGCACTAGCCCACCTTTCTGCCAATAGTCGCTTATATCTCACCCGAACTTCCTCCTCCCTTAGTTTTATACACTTTCACCTCCCTCTTACTTGTTGTTGCCACCTTCCTCTTTTCCCATCTACCTCTTACTCTAACTGTAGCTACAACTAAATAATGATCCGATATATCAGTTGCCCCTCTATAAACATGTACATCCTGGAGCCTACCCATCAACCTTTATCCACCAATACATAATCTAATAAACTACTTTCATTACGTGCTACATCATACTTGTATATTTATTATACCTCTTTTTCATAAAATATGTATTACTTATTACCAAATTTTTTTCAACACTAGCTCAATTAAAGGCTCCCCATTTACATTTACCCCTGGCACCCCAAATTTACCTACTACTCCCTCCATAACATTTTTTACCCATTTAGCAGGGGTTTCGGGTATCACCTGCGGATATGGAGGGGCATAATGCTGTACTTGTATAATGGTACAGGTATAAACCCTTAAATTTGGCACCCTTAACACTAACACCATAGTAGTTTTCAGATTTCCTCTTGCAGGTCTAGTGCTTAGTTATGATTATAATAATTCAGATTTCCCAGTAATAAGGAATTAAAATCAGCTATCCTACCTTTGGCTTAATTTCCTGGGGAGCCTATGTGGTATTAAATAATTTAGATGAAGCCAAAGAGCAACTGTAGAGCTGTTAAGCTTAGTTCATCCAACTAAGTTATCGGTCACTTAAGTCACATTTATCACTCTTATACTGTATAAGAAAAAGCTGTATTACATGTACACTCTGTACTTAAAAGAGGTGCAGAATAATGTTTCTGATGAGCCATTAGTACACAGTTACAGCATAGTGTGCCCAAAAATAAATATGCTTTTAGGCTTCAAAATGTACTGAGTATTTTGTATTGGTGATTCACTTCCTCTTAGATGGTGTACTGCAAACTATCATTAAGTTTAAAACTTAGATTTTATGATAAGTGATTAATTGATATCTCCCAACAATCAAAAATTTACATACATTATTTCTATAAATGCATAATTTAGAGAAAACAACAAAGAATAAGGTTTAATCAAACAAATACATAAACACACTATGCAGCTGGACATGGTACCACAAAACAGTCGAAAGCAATTAGTGTATGACTCCCATCCATATTCTGTATTAAATTACAAAACTACAGTGTATCATTAATGATCAAAAACTGAGCAGAGTAGCAAAAAGATGAAAGTCTTTATTTCAATCTTTGCAACTCCATGACTGACCAACCTCTTTAATTCTCGACACTGAACAGACATCACACAGTTTGTATTTTGTAGCATGTAAGATTTAATGATTTTCAGAGTTCAATAGCAAACATCCTTCACTAGTGAAACAACATTCAGCCATCTGTCATCCTCAGTAACACTCCTTTAACTTTCTTCAAACAGTATTTCAGAAGCCAAACACGTATTTATAAACTATTTGTAACCACCTAGTGTGTACTCTACATACGCCCTTATGACTCTCTCGCAACTCCGTCCATCCCACTGGAAGAGAAACACCTGTCAACTAGTTTTTCCAGGTGCAGTTGGACTACAAGCGAAGAATTTTTCTTAGCCGCACACAGACTATAAATGGTCAATTCAGTATTCTATGTAGTAATTTGAAATCACAGAAAACTGCTGTTACATTCAGGTAAGTACAACTTACCAAAGTTCTTATTTCTTAGAAAATACTCTACATCAGTGGGTGGGCTCAAACTTTTCAACTCCCTATGTGTCTGGTGTTCTTTAATGCATGCTTATAACAAGTAAAATTGATAGTATGAATGATGGCAAAAGTTTTTCTCTTTAAGGTCACCCTTCCTCAGTGGGAGACGGCCAGCATGTTTAAAAAACAAAAAAAAAAAAAAGTGCTAAACCCATAAGGGTCTTATAGTGCTGCTTTCTTTTTTAAGGCTAGTTAACTGCCTACTCTATAAATGCAAGCATCAAGCAACAAAACAGAATGACTTCGAGAATGTATAAATCTGTAGTGGAGCGAAGGCGGGGTAGGGATCGCCCTAGGAAAGGAGGGAGGGAGGGGGTAAATGAGGTTTTGTGTGTGAGGGGCTTGACTTCCAGCAAGCATGCATGTGTTAAATAGGAGCAAATGGAGACAAATGGTTTTCAGGACTTGACGTGCTGTTGGAGTGTGACCAAGGTAACATTTATGAAGGGATTCAGGGAAACCGGCAAGCCGGACTTGAGTCGAGGAGATGGGAAGTACAGTGTCTGCACTCTGAAGGAGGGGTGTTAATGTTTCAGTTTTATAACTGTAGTGTAAATGCACCTCTGGCAAGACAGTGATGGAGTAAATGATGATGAAAGTTTTTCTTTTTTGGGCTACCCTGCCTTGGTGGGAGAAGGCTGATGTGTTGATAAAAAAAAAAAAAAAAATCCTCTTCATTCTTTCTAACAGAAATGTTATTTGTTAAATATTACATACGTTAGATATTGTGGAGCAGTGCTGTATGACCCTTTTGGGTTTAGCACTTAAATGATTATAACAGCATAAATTGTGTAAGGTTGTATATTTAGCATACAGTACAATTTGAACAAGAGATTTTTCAACTTGAACCAGAATCTTATTAATTTACCACTATTTGATTTTTTTTTCCAGTACTGATTCATGATGGTGACTGGGCTACTCTATAATTTCACTTTCCAATCATCTTCAAATTTCTCTAAAAATTTCTTGTTTCTCTGTTATCTCATTCCTGTCCTGTATTCGACTGACAAAGTAGGCCTACTGTGTAGGCGAAATGTTTGGGAATAAAGATACCTAACTGCTGAACATGTGTTTTACTTATGAAAGAGTCAAATTAAAATGCTTTTATGTTTTCTACATTTGTGTCATTTTCTCCTATACCCTTTTTAAAAAAAATTCCTCATAAATGAATTCAACACTAAAGACTGTAGACAGTCATGATCACATAACACTTGTTTACCTAAAGTTCCATCTTTAATCACCTGTAAACTGCTGCAAATAAGAGTCAAGCTTAATATTAACAGAAACTATCCCTTGACCTGAATAACATTCCTCACTCATAGCCAAACATCCGCAATATATTCCACAAGCAATTCATGTTAATGATGTTTTTCAGATTTTTTCTTATTATTATTATTACATTCATGGGGGATGGAGCACTAAACCCAAAGGGGATCAAACAGTGCCTGGAGGAATGGGAGACGACCCTCAGATTCAATCTGAGGAAGGGGAAGGTCTGGTCAAATTTAGTTACTCGCCATTCACATCCTTTAATACAGTACATGTACTAATAAGTTAAAATAACTTGTAAATGCATAAAAAATGATTAAACTGAATATATATTTCAAATTAGTTATTTCATTCTGGCCTGATTTATAGAATCAGAATGCATAATGGTACAGTATATTAGTTTTAATATCAAATCACTGAACAAACAAAAGCAAACTATTGTAAGCACACAAGATAAAGCCCATTTCAATCAACACTGCAAAAACTGTTAGTACACACATGATGAAAATTCATCAGAAATACGTCCAAAGGTGACTTCCGAGCACTTACTTTACGTACCAATGAGCTTCGAAATTTGCCTCCATCTTGTTCATCCTGTGCATGTGAAAAGCTGAAGTAAAGTGTGCTGATAAAGAGAACACTTAGCACTGAGCAGTAAAGTAGCTATAGTACTTTAAAAGAAATGTTAGTGCTAGTAGAGTGATCAGAAGCATTGCATAGATTATCACTGTCTTGCTAATGGCAAGATAGTAATAGAGTGAGTGATGGTGAAAGTGTTTCTTCTTTTATGGGTCGCCTCACCTCAGTGGGAGGTGGCCAGTGTGTTAAAAAAAAGTTCCTGGGCTATATGGATTTAAATTATATATCTGCAAAAGAAGTGGAAAAAAAAAAATGAAAAATTTTATGTAGAAAGAGAGGAATGAGTATACGTATATGGAAAGACAAAACAAGAAAAATGTAGGATATTATTGAAATACATGCACGATACGGTTGTAACTTTTAAAGTATGCAGAATTTTGTTATGATAAGAATTACTGCATTTTTGAAGTTTCAGTCCTAATACTGTAGAATGATTATTCAGGTTTCAACTTTCAGTTAAAAATGAGACAATGGAGAGAGAATTCATCAAGGAAGGTTTGACTTCTCTTGTGTGAATTAGTGGCAGAAAAGGGTCTACTAAAAGGGAATATGACTCCTATAAAATAAATGGCATACAGATAGGCCCTGTTTTACAATGCCTCAGTGAGCTTTATGACATTTCGCTAATACAGCGGTTTTTAATTATAACCACTATTCATTTATTCAGACTTCCTACAATAAATATATTCACCACTCACTATCAGCTAAGGATGAAAATATTTTAAAGTAAGTAATGTGTGTACTGTATATGCATTTTTTAGGCCTAGCTACATTTCTCACTTAATATATTTTTGTGTAAAATGTTATCAAGCTTTTATTTTCATTTGAAAGTGGAAAAAAAAAGAAAGGAGGGAGCAGCTATGATTCACTTTACAGCAGCAGCCCAGAACCTAATCTGCTGAATAGGTGGGACTCTCCTGTATTCACAATACTGTATTACCAGAAAGAAGTTGAGAAGAGTCATTCACTAGAATAGAATAGTTAGGATATTCCACCATGGGGGAAAACATCTTTCTTGGGATTTTTAGCCCCACCCCTCAAATGCAGGTGAGGGGCTCTCGATCCATGGAAATTGACTTATCCTCCTATTAGACTGAACCTGATTGGCTCCCATTCCCCAGGAGCTGTATGACTACTATGGGTTCAGTACTTCCCCCTAAACATAGTACAGTAAATACTAATTATTAGCCCTAGAGGGATGTTAACCCAGAAAGCCCAAACAATCAAACAGTATGGCTCACAGTATTTCCATTTGGATCTTCTGGCCCTCTTTACTAGGATATACCCACAAAAGTTGACTAACTACTAGGTGAACACAGAGAGTAAGTGTAAGGAAACTTGCATATATGTGTCACTACTTGCCTGGGGTTAAACCCAAGTCTTTTCAGCTTTCTTGATAAGATAGCTGAGAAAATCAGTGTACTGGATATGGAGAGATAAAATAGCTAACTGAAAGAACTTGGGATAAGAGAGAGATCACAAAGGTTAAACTGCAGATGTACAAAGAAATAGCATCAAGAAGCAACATGCTTAAGTCAGATATTAACTTTAAAAATGCTTAACTAATATTAGAAAAGAATTTGTTAAACAGCATGTATGTTGCTGTCATAAAAGTAAATGAAACCTAGAAACACAGTTGCTAGAAGCAGATCCTAGAAAATGGTGATAAGTTATAGTGGGATGGGAGGTTAAGGTGCTGAATGACAGCTACTCACAAAGTTGGACACAAATAAGAAAAATGCTGAGATGTGAGTATTAAGGCACTACAGTTATTTAGTTTAAGCAAGAGTAAACGATGTGCTGCTTGACAATACTGTAGCTTGGTAGTGCTTGGTTTTCATTTTCTGGGAGAATGCATAGTCAAGACAATTTAAATGCTAAGTTACTGCCTAATTCTGACAATTTTCAAATCTGGATAGACAAGGTTTCATTATACTGTATTGATTACCTGTACTATGGACAATATCATATTTAGGATTATTTGAACATTTGCAACAGATTACTATAGTACCAATATACTGGAAGTAAAAAAAACAGCTATAAAAAGTTAATAATGTACTGCAAATAAATCAAATTAGAACAAAATATCCATGAATACATATTACTTCTTTGGATACTAAGGGTATTCAGGATTTTGGTTCAGATACGGATTTGCTATATTGTTAAATTTTGTGTAAAATTTAATCTTATAACATTAAAAACTTTTCTTATAATTTCTGCAGTAAAAGGAAAACAGCTTTCTAAAGGAAGCTTTTAGTAAATATGCGAGATTGATAATCTATATTACCCATTGCTAGAGAAGTGGATTATAACATACAAATAGCATTAGCCTAAGAAAAGTGGTGGTAAGCTCTACACGCACTGTGAATGCAGCTCTTTAACAAGATAATACACTACTCACCCTCTCATCTACTTGTCCAAAGCCAACACTTTCATCGTTTTCTCTAAAAATAAAAAAGGGGAAAATTGTACGATTATGAGACATTAAAAGAATAACAAATTTAAACAAAACATTGTGAAAATTGTACACTATAACATTAAGGTTCAATTTGCTCCATAATATTAGAAGCTGAAGAAAACCTAAGAAGGCCCAAGTCAAAGCATATCCATTTATTATTGAGTTCTCACTTGAAAATAATTAAAGATTAAATCTATATTTTATGTTTAAATACAAAATTCCTTTTAATATTACACATTGTGAATCTAGAAAAAGTACCATATGCATTATTTTGCAAAGATGCCAATTAGCAGCTTAATGAACATTCTAAAACACTATTTTTATCTGATGGAGGCATATACTGAACTCTTAATTAAGGTTTCCAACTCTTATATACAGTACTTTGTTTATATGCTTCAGCTAGTTTTATCTAGTAATAAATACTGTATATATTAGTTTACATAGTATTAACTAGGCATTTTTATTCCTAATTGATCCTCACTGTTAATGCATTACATTACTGGAATTGCACAAATGTATGACTGAATGTTTCCATCACATAATTTTTTTTTTTTCAACAAGTCGGCCATCTCCCAATAAATTTTTAAGAGGAACTTACTCCATCTCATTAGCCTTCTCGGAGAACACTCTAAGAATGAACTCTCCTTCCTCATTGGCTTCAAATGTTGATGGAACAATGCAGTATGTGCCAGGGGGAAGTTTGAAGCGGCATGACACCTCACGCATGTTGATGAAAGAAGGAGAACGTGCCACTGATGCACTGTACTTGAAGAAGTTCAAATCTAGGGGACGTGGAGCATTCTCTGGATCTCGTAGCTGTGGAAATAAAATATGTTTAAGAACTAAATAAAAATTGGCAAACTATATCAACACCAAAGAATTTTCTTCGTATAAAGTCTAAACCAAATTTGACATGTTATTCCATATTTCACGTTCTGCAATAGAATTATTATTCCTTACATGATAGATGGCAAAACCAATTGTAAGGCACTCTAGACCCAGCTTTCTCTGTGACCGGCGGTTCTTCTGCATGAGAGCTACAATAACAGTACACTTGTTGTCATCATCATCGTCATCGACTTCTGTCAGTGTGATTCTGTACTGAGGATTGTGCCAGAATGTAGCTGTTGAAAAAAAAATCAAAGAGTAATAGAGGGAACTGAAAATGTGACAGTATCCGACTCTGGAAATGCAATAAATCTGAATATAATAAAGCATCTGATACAGATTTTTATGTTACATTATGTAGCATCATAAAAATAAAACAGATTTAAAAGGACTGTGACATGTTTAATGTGTATACATATTAAGTAAATATTTAGATAACATTTCATTAGGATATAGCTCCTGAGAACTTTTCTTTGTAATTTCTTACCCAAGAAGTTTCTACAGCCACCAGCTGTGGAGCCACGAATCCAAGCTCCTTCAAACACACTCATCTCCCATTTGTGCTTAACAGCTCCAGCTATGTCCTCATCATCCAGGGAGTCTGGGTTCAAGTTGGTTAATTCCAGCATTGTGAAATTTCTTAAGAAGTCCTGTAAAAATGAAAGGGAATTTAACAAGCACTAAACTATGCATATAAATTGGGCCTAACAAATAACTTCCATTAAGAAAATTTATATATTTTTTCTTAGTTACTTTCTGTTAACTTATCAGCCATTTCAAAGCAAAGTGAAGAGACCTAAAGCAGAAAACACATGCACTACAATGTGCTCTCTATCTGCAACATACATTGCAGAGAAATGTTGACCCACAGAACCCTGACACTGCCCACCCCAGTTTTTGGTGGAAGCACAGTACAGTGGACCCCCGGTTAACGATATTTTTTCACTCCATTAGTATGTTCAGGTGCCAGTACTGACCGAATTTATTCCCATAAGGAATATTGTGAAGTAGATTATTCCTTTCAGACCCCCAAACATACACGTACAAACGCACTTACATAAATACACTTACATAATTGGTCGCATTTGGAGGTAATCGTTATGCGGGGGTCCACTGTACTTTAAACCCTCTAGTCTAACTAATCAATTACCCTGAATACTTTCATATACATTATGTTGCTCACTTTCCAAGTAAAATTCCATGAAGACCTTGCCTTCACTAACTCTTATGTAACACTTGTATATGCCTGTTAATGTCCATCTTCACACCCTCTTTCAAGCCCCTCTTTGTAAGCGATCCAAGATTTATAAAACCCATCTTGTTTACAGTCTTCGCAAAAAATCTCTGTCATGAAATGTGAAAAAAAGTTTGCTGCCAATTCAGTAACAATGCTTTTGCATTTCCAGCCATGTAAAGAAAATAAATTAGAAACAGAGGGTGTCCAGTAGTAGGGGTTTGCAAATTAGACTGCAGTGCATGGAGTTAAGCAGTCTATAATATTTGATATGCTATTTTAGTAAAGGCAAGGTAATGTCTATGAAGTGACTTTAGGAAACTGAATAGCCAGACATAAATTTTGGAAGCTAGAAAGTGCAGTGTATGCATTATGAAAGTGGAGGTGGCAGGTTGTGATGAGTGTTGGTGTATGTTTTCTTCTTTAGGTCACCTAGGTGGAAAATGACCAATGTGGAGATGATTAGGTTGTCTTTTTCCACCTAGGTGGAAAATGGCCAATGTGGAAATGATTAAGTTGTTGAAACAGAGTAAACAGAAACATGGTAAGCTTTTGCATGTAGAGATCATATAAAAAAATACACTAACATTATAAAAACTAACAGAAAAAGATTTTTTAAATAACAGCACCTAAGATTTTTTTTATAAAGATAGCTGTAATGAATAGTAGCTTGAGTTAATAGAAAATAAGATGTATGAAGACAGGATGACATTGTGCAAAAAAAACTGAGGTAGTGTGCATGTAAATTAAAAAAATGCAGAGATACAAATAATAGCAAAGTGTACCTGCAGATAAGATAAAAAGCACAGTTAAAGAAAGCTTACTTTAAAGGACATCCAGAACTCTCCATCATGTTCGAAAGTCAGACCAATCTCTTCTTTCTCCTCTGGAGGAATAAACTGCCACTCAGGACTCTGGTCACTCCACGATCCCTGCCATTCTGCTTCATTGCCCCAAGGATTACGAATACGGACTAGTGGAATCTTTCCAGACACTCTAGGCGTGTTGATCTCACAATACTTTATTCTCGTGACGGAATAGGCATGACCACGAATGAGGCCAGTATCACAGCGAGCCTCCACTACATTTGGGTCAGGCTGAAGGTAATAATGATTTAATTAATGATCATTAAAAAAGATAATTACTTAAGTTTTGTTTCTATAGAAAGGCTGATGTAAAATGTCCAGGAATAAGCTATGAAAAAAGTTTGTCTCTGCTATTAGTTTTGCCTTTATTATTATATAACATTTTCATCTACTATTTTCTCTTGGTGATTCTGAAGAAGTGACTGTTTTGGATAAACTTTTCTCATTATTAATAACACAATCAAGGCAACTTTTTAGAGGAAAATAAAAATATTTAATGGGTGCATAAAAAGAGAGAGAGATTATCTGGAAAAAATATAAAATATGGGTGTAACTCTAGTGCCATTTTTTTGGTCAATGGCAAAATTTGCTAAGACTTGAATAAATTTCTTATACTGTATAATGTAACTAAACAGCACTTCATAAAGTAAGAAATTTTCAGGAAAACTAGTCTGTAACTTTGGAAGATTACTGTATCTTCCAACTCACTTCAGAATTTTTGCATATATTTTAAAAACAGCATCCTACAGAAGGTAAAATAATACTGCTTTGTTTTGGGATTTGTATTACACTTTAATGTAAAACAATTTAATGTATTAGACTTTAATATAAAACAATTTAAACCTAATGATTCTTAACTATAAGATGAATAATTTCAGGAGTGACTGTAAGTCATCATAAAATTGTAAGACTCAACATGATGAGAATGGTTATACTTTATTGGGAAAAGTAAGTCCATGGCTTGTCAATGTTCTCCTAGTGAAAAGTTAGAATATATAATTTGTGAACATTTTAACCATAGCATATAAAATTTTAACTAAAAATTTCTAATAGCCAAAATATACTAAGAAGCTTCTCATGACTACAATCTGACAAGCAATGCAGAGTATCTCCCAATCACCACTACAGTGATTTTATCTCAAAATCATATATGAACAATGGTAAGTATATATAGACCTTATTTCTAATGACTGAATCCTATGAATAAACAGAAAGGTAGATGAGGGGCTCAAACCATGGTCTGTAAATTGACAGTCCAACTCTCTATTGTCTAGGCTAACCCAGGACTCTAATAGGAAGGCTTTAAAGGTAATACTTATTGCATTACTCGACTCAAGAAATCGTAATGACACGATTGCAAATAAACCATACCCCCGGCCGGGATTGAACCCGCGGTCATAGAGTCTCAAAACTCCAGCCCGTCGCGTTAGCCACTAGACCAGCTAGCCACAATAAGATTCATCCAACTAGGTATATTTCTACACCATAGGAAAGTTAGCACAGGCACCTCTGTGACCACAAATGCAAGTTTTTACAGACGAATCTCCAGCTAGCGTGGCCGTGACGAACTCTAGCTCAAGTCCCTTCACTGCCGTCAACATGACTCAAGAAATCGTAATGACACGATTGCAAATAAACCATACCCCGGCCGGGATTGAACCCGCGGTCATAGAGTCTCAAAACTCCAGCCCATCGCGTTAGCCACTAGACCAGCTAGCCACAATAAGATTCACCCAACTGGGTATATTTCTACACCATAGGAAAGTTAGCACAGGCACCTCTGTGACCACAAATGCAAGTTTTTACAGAACGAATCCCCAGCTAGCGGGGGCCGTGACGAATCTTATTGTGGCTAGCTGGTCTAGTGGCTAACGCGACGGGCTGGAGTTTTGAGACTCATGACCGCGGGTTCAATCCCGGCCGGGGGTAGGGTTTTTATTTGCAACGTGTCATTACGATTTCTTGAGTCATGTTGACGGCAGTGAAGGGATTGAGCTAGAGTTCGTCACGGCCCACGCTAGCGGGAGATTCGTCTGTAAAAACTTGCATTTGTGGTCACAGAGGTGCCTGTGCTAACTTTCCTATGGTGTAGAAATATACCTAGTTGGATGAATCTTATTGTGGCTAGCTGGTCTAGTGGCTAACGCGACGGGCTGGAGTTTTGAGACTCTATGACCGCGGGTTCAATCCCGGCCGGGGGTATGGTTTATTTGCAATCGTGTCATTACGATTTCTTGAGTCATGTTGACGGCAGTGAAGGGACTTGAGCTAGAGTTCGTCACAGCCACGCTAGCTGGAGATTCGTCTGTAAAAACTTGCATTTGTGGTCACAGAGGTGCCTGTGCTAACTTTCCTATGGTGTAGAAATACAGTGGACCCCCGCATAGCGAACGCCTTGCATAGCGAACAATCCGCATAGCGGACGCTTTGTTCGCTAAAATTTTGCCCCGCATAGTGGACAAAAACCCGCTCAGGGGCCCTTTCCCGTCCGAGACGCGTCCAATGTGCGCCCTCAGCCAGCCTCACATGTGCCGCCCGTGCCATTGTTTACCAGCCAGCCTCCGCGGTAACATTCAAGCATACACTCGGATATTTCGTATTATTACAGTGTTTTCGGTGCTGTTTCTGGAAAATAAGTGACCATGGGGCCCCAAGAAAGCTTCTAGTCCCAAACCCCTACACCTAAAAGGGTAAGAATACCCATTAAAATGAAGAAAGAGATCTTTGATAAGTATGAAGTGGAGTACGTATCACCGACCTGGTCAGGTTGTACAGAAACCAAAATCAACCATCTCTTCTATTGTGGGCAAGAAAACGGCAATCAAGGAAGCTGTTGTTCCCAAGGTTTAATGTGTTTTCGAAAAAAGATCGCAAGTGATGGAAGATGTTGATTGACTCTTTTTGGTGTGGATAAATGAAAAAAGCTAGCAGGAGATAGCGTCTCTCAAGCGATCATATGTGAAAAAGGCTAGGAAGTTGCATGACGATTTAATTAAAAAAAATGCCTGCAACTAGTGATGATGTGAGTGAATTTAAGGCCAGCAAAGGTTTGGGTTTTGGGAAAATTTAAGAAGCGTATTTGGCATCCATAGTGTGATACGGCATGGTGAGGCTGCCATTTCGGACCAAAAAAGGGCTAAAAAATATGTGCAGGAATTAAAGGAGTACATAGAAACTGAAGGACTGGAACCTAAAACAAGTGTTTAATTGTGATGAAACAGGCCTGTTCTGGAAGAAAATGCCAAGCAGGACCTACATTACTCAGGAGGAAAAGGCACTCCCAGGACATAAGCCTATGAAAGACAGGCTTACTTTGTTGATGTGTGCCAATGCTAGTGGTGATTGCAAAGTTAAGCCTTTATTAGTGTATCACTCTGAAACTCCCAGAGCGTTCAGGCAAAGAATGTCCTCAAGGATAATTTGTGTGTGCTGTGGAGGGCAAACAGTAAGGCATGGGTCACTAGGGAATTTTTCTATAACGGTTACACCATGCATTTGCCCCAATGTGAAAGATTACCTAACTGAAAAGAAATTAGACCTTTAAGTGCCTCCTGGTGTTAACAATCCCCCTGGTCATCCTACAGACGTGGCAGAGCGACTTTAATGGGGACATGGCTCATTAAGGTGAAGTTTTTGCCTCCTAATACCACTCCTCTCCTGCAGCCATGGACCAGCAGGTCATTTCCAACTTCAAGAAACTGTACACAAAAGCTCTGTTTCAAAAGTGCTTTGAAGTGACCACAGACACTCGTTTGACTCTAAAAGAGTTTTGGAAGGATCACTTTAATATCCTCAATTGTGTAAACCTTATAGGTAAGGCTTGGGAGGGAGTGACTAAGAGAACCTTGAACTCTGCTTGGAAGAAACTGTGGCCAGAAGTGTAGACAAAAGGGATTTTGAAGGGTTTGAGGCTAACCCCGAGAGGAGTAGTATACCCGTTGAGGAATCAATTGTGGAATTGGGGAAGTCCTTGGGGTTGGAGGTTAGTGGGGAGGATGTGGAAGAGTTGGTGGAGGAGGACAATGAAGAACTAACCCCTGATGAGCTGATAGATAACTTCAAGAGCAAGAGGCCAGACCTGGGGAAACTGGTTCAAAGGAGGGGAGAGAGAAATTGAAGGAATTGCCTACTTCAAAGATTAAGGGAAAAGTGTGCAAAATGGCTTGAAGTGCAAACCTTTTTTTATGAAAATCACCCTCACACAGCTATTGCAAGCCGTGCTGGTGACTGTTACAATGACACTGTTGTGAACCACTTTAGACAAATCATAAAGGAACGAGAGGTACAGGCCACTATGGACAGATATGTTGTGCGGAAAGAAGTCCAGTGACTCTGAAGCTGGGGCCTAGTGGCATTAAAAGAAAGAAGGGAAAAACCCCAGAAAAGGACTTGCTACCTCAAGTCCTAATGGAAGGGGATTCCCCTTCTAAACACTAACACTCTCTCTCCCCCCCTCCCATCCCATCAATCATCACCAGATCTTCAATAAAAGTAAGTGTCATGTAATTGTGCATGCCTTTTTCAGTTTGTGTGTACTAAAATTAACATTTTTTTGTGGTAAAAAAATTTTTTTTTCATACTTTTGGGTGTCTTGCACGGATTAATTTTATTTCCATTATTTCTTATGGGGAAAATTAATTCGCATAGCGAACATTTCGCATAACGGCCAGCCCTCTTGCACGGATTAAGTTCGCTATGCGGGGGTCCACTGTATACCTAGTTGGATGAATCTTATTGTGGCTAGCTGGTCTAGTGGCTAACGCGACGGGCTGGAGTTTTGAGACTCTATGACCGCGGGTTCAATCCCGGCCGGGGGTATGGTTTATTTGCAATCGTGTCATTACGATTTCTTGAGTCATGTTGACGGCAGTGAAGGGACTTGAGCTAGAGTTCGTCACGGCCACGCTAGCTGGAGATTCGTCTGTAAAAACTTGCATTTGTGGTCACAGAGGTGCCTGTGCTAACTTTCCTATGGTGTAGAAATATACCTAGTTGGATGAATCTTATTGTGGCTAGCTGGTCTAGTGGCTAACGCGACGGGCTGGAGTTTTGAGACTCTATGACCGCGGGTTCAATCCCGGCCGGGGGTATGGCTTATTGCATTACATTCCATCAGAAAGGATTTGGAGGTAACAGTAAGTATTATCTCTGAATCCTTCCTATTAGATGCCTGGGTTTGCCTAGATGGTAGAGCGTCAGACTATCAATTAATGGACTGCAGTTTGAGCCCCTCGTCTACCTTTCTGTTTATTCATCAACAGTTGTTTATTACAACTTAATTTGAGTTCACTGAATCCTATCTTCACCATATACAACCAATTACAATCTTACTTCAATAGAGCATCCCATTAGGGATCCACGCTCGTAAGCCTTTAGCATGATGTTGAAGAGATTTGGTGGAGCCTTGGTGAGGTCATAAATTTCAGACACACCACCAGTGAAGTCTTCCATGGCCTCACAAGTAGTGCCTCCCTTCAGGGCCTCATATGAGCCATGCAATCTGGAGATAAAATAAATTAGGAATTAACAAAAGGTTATACCCATTTTGAAATGAGTCTTCTACATCCACAAACGAAATGTTTCCAAAATGAATATACTCAAGTGTTGCACATAAAACTTACTCTGCACATAAACTAGGTACACACAGTTTATTAACAGCCATTTTAGACTTGAAGGTTAGTGAGCAGTATGGTCAAATTGTTTTATCTTTAGGAATGTGTTTGGCTAGGTTATGAAAGGTGTGAGGAGTTAAACTATGGCACCTTCTGGGTATTATGGCTTATAATGCTATTTAATTTTGGGGAAGTTACTTTGTCGGGACGTTCCCATTTTAACCCATAAATGGTCCAAACGTATATATACGTTTTTTTCAACATTTGATAGTATGTAAAAAAAGTAGAATTTTTTTTTTTTACATTTGAAAACGTGTAAAAAACTTTGATCTACATTTTTTTTTGTTGTATTTGAAAATATGTAAAAAAACGTAGATCTACTTTCGGAGCACTACGCATGTGAATGTAGATCTGCTTGAACCGTTTATGGGTTAAAGGGCATTGGTGCTAAAGAATTTAATCACCTTGGAGTCTTGTTAATAAACATATTTTTTTGCTCCTTTGTTTATGAATCAAGAGCTCTTTAGCATCAAAGACCTTCCCTTAAGGGGAAAAAGTGTTAAGTACTTGATTATTACTGCATTTATGGGGAAGCACTAAACCCAAAAGGGCCATACATTGCTTAAGTAGTAAGCAATCATGTTCGATCCAAGGAAGGGGAGAAGAGCACCAGTTCCTTTGATCAAGGGCCCTTCACCAGCATCAAGACTCCCTTGTGAAGGGTAAGTACTTGAGAATGAGTTCAAGTCTACATGAAGAACCCACCACAACATTATTTTAATAAATCATATACAAAACCAAAGAATTTTACAACTTCTAATCATAATTTTTTGTATCTACTGTATGACTGACAATCATGTTACATGTATATTGCCTAATAAATGTATATTTTATTAAATATCTTTCAATGCAGCCATTATCAAGCCAAAAAGTTAAATAAATTTCAGAGCACTTTACAGCTCTATATTAGTAGAATCAGTGAACATACTTAGCATAAGCTTTCTCAAGAAGGGCAGACCAAAATTCATTCCTTTCTTCAGAGTGCATAAAAACAAGACGGCCATAGAAGGTGGGAAGTCGATCATCAATCACAACATCAACCCAACGTCCATACTGCCAAAACCTGTGGATGTTACAATCATAAAAAACAGGGTAAAATATAAAACAGAAATCCTACATTAATTATGCTTAGACACAAGTACATAAGTGAGTGGTTTGTTGCACCTGTGCTATCTTTAGCAGCAAGTCACCAAAACCATCTATGTTACCTCACAATGTTATCAATCTACATTACCTTATTAAATTTTTTTTTTTTTTCAACAAGTTGGCCGTCTCCCACTGAGGCAGGGTGACCCAAAAAAGAAAGAAAATCCCAAAAAGAAAATGCTTTCATCATCATTCAACACTTTCACCACACTCACACATAATCACTGTTTTTGCAGAGGTGCTCAGAATACAACAGTTTAGAAGCATATACGTATAAAGATACACAACATATCCCTCCAAACTGCCAATATCCCAAACCCCTCCTTTAAAGTGCAGGCATTGTACTTCCCATTTCCAGGACTCAAGTCCGACTATATGAAAATAACCGGTTTCCCTGAATCCCTTCACTTAATATTACCCTGCTCACACTCCAACAGATGGGTCAGGTCCCAAGTATCATTCGTCTCCATTCACTCCTATCTAACACGCTCACGCACGCTTGCTGGAAGTCCAAGCCCTTGCCCACAAAACCTCCTTTACCCTCTCTCTCCAACCCTTTCGAGGACAACCCCTACCTCGCCTTCCTTCCCCTATAGATTTATATGCTTCCATGTCATTCTACTTTGATCCATTCTCTCTAAATGACCAAACCACCTCAACAACCCCTCTTCTGCCCTCTGACTAATACTTTTATTAACTCCACACCTTTTCCTAATTTCCACACTCCGAATTTTCTGCATAATATTTACACCACACATTGCCCTTAGACAGGATATCTCCACTGCCTCCAACCATCTCCTCGCTGCTGCATTTACCACCCAAGTTTCACACCCATATAAGAGTGTTGGTACTACTATACTTTCATACATTCCCTTCTTTGCCTCCATAGATAACGTTTTTGACTCCACATATACCTCAATGCACCACTCACCTTTTTTCCCTCATCAATTCTATGATTAACCTCATCCTTCATAAATCCATCCACCGACACATCAACTCCCAAGTATCTGAAAACATTCACTTCTTCCATACTCCTCCTCCCCAATTTGATATCCAATTTTTCTTTATCTAAATCATTTGATACCCTCATCACCTTATTCTTTTCTATGTTCACTTTCAACTTTCTGCCTTTACACACATTCCCAAACTCATCCACTAACCTTTGCAATTTTTCTTTAGAATCTCCCATAAGCACAGTATCATCAGCAAAAGTAACTGTGTTAATTCCCATTTTGAATTTGATTCCCCATAATTTAATCCCACCCCTCTCCTGAACACCCTAGCATTTACTTCTTTTACAACCCCATCTATAAATATATTAAACAACCATGGTGACATTACACATCCTGTCTAAGACCTACTTTTACCGGGAGTAGTCTCCCTCTCTTCTACACACCCTAACCTGAGCCTCACTATCCTCATAAAAACTCTTTACAGCATTTAGTAACTTACCACCTATTCCATATACTTGCAACATCTGCCACATTGCTCCCTATTCACTCTATCATATGCCTTTTCTAAATCCATAAATGCAATAAAAACTTCCCTACCTTTATCTAATATGTTCACTATATGCTTCAATGTAAACACTTGATCTACACATCCCTACCCACTCTGAAACCTCCTTGCTCATCCGCAATCCTACATTCTGTCTTACCTCTAATTCTTTCAATTATAACCACTACCATACACTTTTCCTGGTATACTCAATAAAACTTATTCCTCTATAATTTTTACAATCTCTTTTGTCCCCTTTCCCTTTATTATAAAGGGACTATACATGCTCTCCGCCAATCCCTAGGTACCTTCCCCTCTTTCATACATTTATTAAACAAAAGTACCAACCACTCCAAACATATCCCCCCTGCTTTTAACATTTCTGTCATGATCCCATCAGTTCCAGCTGCTTTACCCCCTTTCATTCTACGTAATGCCTCACGTACCTCCCCCACACTTACATTCTGCTCTTCTTCACTCCTAAAAGATGGTATACCTCCCTGACCAGTGCATGAAATTACATTCTGCTCTTCTTCACTCCTAAAAGATGGTATACCTCCCTGACCAGTGCATGAAATTACCACCTCCCTTTCTTCCTCAACATTTAAAAGTTCCTCAAAATATTCTCGCCATCTACCTAATACCTCCCTCTCCCCATCTACTAACTCCCCTACTCTGTTTTTAACTGACAAATCCATACTTTCCCTAGGCTTTCTTAACTTGTTTAACTCCAAAATTTTATCTTATTTTCATTAAAATTTCTTGACAGTGCCTCTCCCACTCTATCATCTGCTCTCCTTTTACACTCTCTCACCACTCTCTTCACCTTTCTTTTACTGTCCATATACTCTGTTTTTCTTATAACACTTCTGCTTTGTAAAAACCTCTCATAAGCTAACTTTTTATTTAGCTATAAATAATTAATATTTTTAAATACATCAGGCATTTCTCACTAGGGCTAGGGAATAAGTCAGCATCACTTATTCCCTAGCTGTCACTCTGATGATTTCAACTGGTAAGCCAGTGGTTGGTCAACTGTGGGCCACCAAAGGGCCAGCAGCTACCACACTTGCATTTGTCAAAGTAGACACAGCTGGCTACAGCACTGCAAACCAATGGTTGCTTCTTGCCATGCCCTACCATAAGGCCAATAATGCCACTGAACAGGTCATCATTTAACAGAAACACATCTCATATACTTTTTCCTGATGAAAGTAATAACAACTATACTTAATCTTAACAGAAATTCATGATCACAATCCTTATGTCTTACTAAACCCCAACACCCTCACCCATCTCTCAAACCACAGGCACTGTATTTTCTACCTCCAGAACTAAAATCCAGCTAGCTAGTTCTCCAGAAATCCTTCATACATATTACCTCATTCACACTCCAACAGAATGTGAAATGCCAAAAACCATGTCTCTGCTCACTCCAGTTTCTCAAAACCTCCTTCACAATATCATCAACCATTCCCTTGACATTCCCTACAATTCCTACCATTCACCAAGATGTTTACACACTTCTGATTGGACTGTCTTGCTCCATCCATCTTTTGAATAAATCATTTAAACAACCCGCCTTTTGCTCCCTGAATAATAACTTTCATATAGAGATAGACCTCTTAATTCCTTCACTTCTTATGCTATGCACAGTGTTCCACTTAATTCATAAATTATGGTAATTACTAATAACTATAATTTCAAATACATTTTCTTCTTCTTTCAACAAACCGGCCGTATACCACTGAGGCAGGGTGGCCCAAAAAGTAAAATGAAAGTTTCTCTTTTTAACTTTAGTAATGTATACAGGAGAGGGAGTTACTAGCCCCTCACTCCCTGCATTTTAGTCATCTCTTACGACACGCGTGGTTTACAGAGGAAGAATTCTGTTCCGCTTCCCCATGGAGATAAGAAATAAACAAGAACAAGAACTAATAAGAAAATAGAAGAAAAAACCCATAGGGGCGTGTATATGTAGATTTGTCCATGCATATGTAGTGCGACCTAAGTGTAAGTAGAAGTAGCAAGACATACCTGAAATCTTGCAAGTTTATGAGACAGAAAAAAGACACCGGCAATCGTACCATCATGAAAACAATTACAGGCTTCCGTTTTACACTCACCTGGTAAGACAGTAGTATCTCCCTGGGCGGTTGCTGTCTACCAACCTACTACCTAGGTCAAATACATTTATCATCATATCAATGCAGTGTGTTGTGTGAATAAATGTAGAGAATCCGTAGTTTGGAGATTAGGAGAAGGTGCGGGATTATCAAAGCTATTATTCAGAGGGCTGAGGAGGGATTACTGAGATGGTTTGGATATGTAGAGAGGATGGAACAAAACAGAATGACTTTGAGAGTGTATAAATCTGTAGTGAAGGGAAGGCGGGGTAGGGGTCGACCTAGGAAAGGTTGGAGAGAGGGGGTAAAGGAGGTTTTGTGTGTGAGGGACTTGGACTTCCAGCAAGCGTGAGTGAGCGTGTTAGATAGGAGCAAATGGAGACAAATGGTTTTTAGGACTTGCATTGCTGTTGGAGTGTAAGCAAAGTAACATTTATGAATTGATTCAGGAAAACCAGCAGGGCGGACTTGATTCCTGGAGATTGAGAAGTACAGTGCTGGCATTGTACAAGGTTACCCCAAAAAGAAAGGAAAATAAAAAAAGAAAGAAAAAACTTTCATCATTCAACACTTTCACCATCATTCATACATAATCACTGTCTTTGCAGAGGCACTCAGATATGACAGTTTAGATGTCTCTCCAAACTGCCAATATCCTAAACCCCTCCTTTAAAGTGCAGGCATTGTACTTCCCATTTCCAGGACTCAAGTCCGGCTAACCGGTTTCCCTGAATCCCTTCACAAAATATTACCCTGCTTACACTCCAACAGCTCGTCAGGTCCCATAAACCATTTGTCTCCATTCACTCCAATCTAACACGCTCATGCACACTTGCTGGAAGTCCAAGCTTACAAAACCTCCTTTACCCTATCCCTCCAACCTTTTGGGAACAACCCTTACCATGCCTTCCTTTCCCAACAGATTTATATGCTCTCCAAGTCATTCCTAGTTTGTTCCGTTCTCTCTAAATGACCAAACCACCTCAACAGCCCCTCTTCAGCCCTCTGATTAATACTTTCAGTAACTCCACACCTCCTCCTAATTTCCACACTACAAATTCTCTGCATAATATTTACACCACACATTGCCCTTAGAGACGACATCTCTACTGCCTCCTCGCTGCAGCATTTACAACCCATGCTTCACACCCATATAAGAGTGTTGGTACTTCTATAGTCTCGTACATTCCCTTCTTTGCCTCCATGGATAACGCTGTCTCCACAGATACCTCAACACAGTACTCACCTTTTTTCCTTCATCAATTCTATGGTTTACCTCATCCTTCATAAATCCATCTGCTGACAAGTCAATTCCCAAATATCTGAAAACATACACTTCTTCCATACTCCCTCCCTCCAATGTGATATCCAGTATATATCTATATGTCTTCACTTTTCAATTTTCTACCTTTGCACACCCTAAGTATCCATCTCAAAAGTAATTATAACAAAGCAATGAAAAGCATCTTGATAGTGACAGTGGTGCTAAGAACAAATTTTCCATCTCAGGAAATTCATGTTTCTAGCAGCATTTCCATCATAGATAGTTTACCTTAATGGCAGCAAACACTAACCTGAAGTGGAATATGCCAGCATAGTTGTCTCCAAATCCTTGGTCACTTGGTACAATCTGGTAGAAGAGACGCTTGTTCAAGGTCAAGTTGGCCACAGCTGCCAAAAGCCAACAGTCACCTGTAAATGGAAAAATATTTTAGTAAGATAAGAAAAAACAGAAATCAGTGAAACCAGCCAATAAGAGTTAAGCGACAGAACCAGAAGCCATGAATCAACCCTTGCAAAATATAGCCAGGCGAGCAGAACTAGCTAAGTATTTAAAACCAGGAACATGTCACATTATATATAGCTCAGCAGTAGGTAAATGGACACAGACATAATTAATGTGACATTTTACTGAGGCAATGTTTTACTCTCCAGGAGCTTTTTCAAGCTGTAATGGCTTGGCAAAGATACTGGATAGCAAAACGTTGCCACAACAAAATGTCACATTAGTTACATCTGTATCCATTTACTTAACACTTTGTCGGTAATTCTACTATTATTACTAACTCAGTAAACATTTTGCTCATAATCAAAATACCTTGATTCAATCCTGGCTGAGGTAGGACATATGGACAAGTCTACTAACTGCTGCCAGTGTTCACCTAATCAGTAAGTAGATACCTGAGTGTTAGGCAACTGTTGCAGGTCGATCCTGTTTGAGGTCTCAAGAAAACTAATGAAAATAAATCACATTACCTGACTTTCTTGGCTTATGGTGTTTTATTAACACTTGGTTAATAACCTCATGGGTTATTCAACTAAAGAGGCTATGTAATAAGGTATAATAACACTGGTTCTTTATCAATAACATAATGCTTTTATAATTTATTTTAATGTTTATGTGAAATTATAAAGTTTAATAAAAATTACAAACAAAACACTGAAGATAATTCTTTTTATTCTGTCAGTATATATAATACTTTATTGTTTATATTATAGAGTTTACAGATGCCCTAATAATAAAGAGAAAGAGCAGAATAAAAATATGAGGTTAACATTACTGTTCCTAGGCTAACGAAATTCAATATTTTAGGTTGCAGTTATTAACTGCATATAAACTGTTAAAAATTAAAAGAGAGTAGTAAGGGAGAAAAAGTTAGCATATGAGAAGTTTTTACAAAGTAGAAGTGATGCAAGGAGGGAAGAGTATATGGAGAAAAAGAGAGAGGTTAAAAGAGTGGTGAAGCAATGTAAAAAGAGAGCAAATGAGAGAGTGGGTGAGATGTTATCAACAAATTTTGTTGAAAATAAGAAAAAGTTTTGGAGTGAGATTAACAAGTTAAGGAAGCCTAGAGAAAAAATGGATTTGTCAGTTAAAAATAGGAGAGGAGAGTTATTAAATGGAGAGTTAGAGGTATTGGGAAGATGGAGGGAATATTTCGAGGAATTGTTAAACGTTGATGAAGATAGGGAAGCTGTGATTTCGTGTATAGGGCAAGGAGGAATAACATCTTGTAGGAGTGAGGAAGAGCCAGTTGTGAGTGTGGGGGAAGTTCGTGAGGCAGTAGGTAAAATGAAAGGGGGTAAGGCAGCCGGGATTGATGGGATAAAGATAGAAATGTTAAAAGCAGGTGGGGATGTAGTTTTGGAGTGGTTGGTGCAATTATTTAATAAATGTATGGAAGAAGGTAAGGTACCTAGGGATTGGCAGAGAGAATGCATAGTTCCTTTGTATAAAGGCAAAGGGGACAAAAGAGAGTGCAAAAATTATAGGGGAATAAGTCTGTTGAGTATACCTGGTAAAGTGTATGGTAGAGTTATTATTGAAAGAATTAAGAGTAAGACGGAGAATAGGATAGCAGATGAACAAGGAGGCTTTAGGAAAGGTAGGGGGTGTGTGGACCAAGGTGTTTACAGTGAAACACATAAGTGAACAGTATTTAGATAAGGCTAAAGAGGTCTTTGTGGCATTTATGGATTTGGAAAAGGCGTATGACAGGGTGGATAGGGGGGCAATGTGGCAGATGTTGCAGGTGTATGGTGTAGGAGGTAGGTTACTGAAAGCAGTGAAGAGTTTTTACGAGGATAGTGAGGCTCAAGTTAGAGTATGTAGGAAAGAGGGAAATTATTTCCCAGTAAAAGTAGGCCTCAGACAAGGATGTGTGATGTCACCGTGGTTGTTTAATATATTTATAGATGGGGTTGTAAGAGAAGTAAATGCGAGGGTATTGGCAAGAGGCGTGGAGTTAAAAGATAAAGAATCACACATAAAGTGGGAGTTGTCACAGTTGCTCTTTGCTGATGACACTGTGCTCTTGGGAGATTCTGAAGAGAAGTTGCAGAGATTGGTGGATGAATTTTGTAGGGTATGCAAAAGAAGAAAATTAAAAGTGAATACAGGAAAGAGTAAGGTTATGAGGATAACAAAAAGATTAGGTGATGAAAGATTGGATATCAGATTGGAGGGAGAGAGTATGGAGGAGGTGAATGTATTCAGATATTTGGGAGTGGACGTGTCAGAGGATGGGTCTATGAAAGATGAGGTAAATCACAGAATTGATGAGGGGAAAAGGGTGAGTGGTGCACTTAGGAGTCTGTGGAGACAAAGAACTTTGTCCTTGGAGGCAAAGAGGGGAATGTATGAGAGTATAGTTTTACCAACGCTCTTATATGGGTGTGAAGCATGGGTGATGAACGTTGCAGCGAGGAGAAGGCTGGAGGCAGTGGAGATGTCATGTCTGAGGGCAATGTGTGGTGTGAATATAATGCAGAGAATTTGTAGTTTGGAAGTTAGGAGGAGGTGCGGGATTACCAAAACTGTTGTCCAGAGGGCTTAGGAAGGGTTGTTGAGGTGGTTCGGACATGTAGAGAGAATGGAGCGAGACAGAATGACTTCAAGAGTGTATCAGTCTGTAGTGGAAGGAAGGCGGGGTAGGGGTCGGCCTAGGAAAGGTTGGAGGGAGGGGGTAAAGGAGGTTTTGTGTGCGAGGGGCTTGGACTTCCAGCAGGCATGCGTGAGCGTGTTTGATAGGAGTGAATGGAGACAAATGGTTTTTAATACTTGACGTGCTGTTGGAGTGTGAGCAAAGTAACATTTATGAAGGGGTTCAGGGAAACCGGCAGGCCGGACTTGAGTCCTGGAGATGGGAAGTACAGTGCCTGCACTCTGAAGGAGGGGTGTTAATGTTGCAGTTTAAAAACTGTAGTGTAAAGCACATTTCTGGCAAGACAGTGATGGAGTGAATGATGGTGAAAGTTTTTCTTTTTCGGGCCACCCTGCCTTGGTGCGAATCGGCCAGTGTGACAATAAAAAAATTAAATAATTCCACATAAAAGAACTAGAGCATCAAAGGATATGATAAAATGTATAAACATGCACAAAAGCTATAAAATATTTCTCTAGAAATAAGAATTGAACAGTATGGCTTGATGTATTGTTGGAATGTGAGCTAGGTAACATTTATAAAGGGATTTAGAGTAAACCAGTTAGCCAGACTTGAGTCCTGGAGGCAAAGGAAGGGTGGGGATGTTTTACTTTAATAGGTCATTTGAATTATGATATCCGCACCTTTCTGCCAAGACAGCTATTGAATAAATGGTGGTATTTTATTTTTTTGGTTGCCAATATGGATATCAATACTGAATATTAATCCAATGCTGATACCATCAAAATTAGCCTATATTCACCAATACCAATATTCAATTTTAGAGTAATACTGATACTGTCAAAATCAGGCAATGCTACTGATACTGATACTTTGGCATATTCCTAATACAAATCAAAATGTAAACTCACCCAGTTCTCCTTGCTTAACATCAAAGCGTGAGGCACCATCAATAAAGAGTTGGGGCTCATCTGTGATTTCCTGGAGTAATAAAAACAGCATTAGCACCAATAGAAAGCACGTTAACTATGATTTCTCTCCATGCTAACAAAACTACCAAAATTTTATAATTAATAATAATTTTTTCCTAGGAGGAAACATTAAATTAATTTTTAGCCTTGTAAATAATTTACATCATCTGTAACGAATGACTGTATGTAATTTCATGCAAGAAAATGTTAATAATACAGGGAGAAAACTGGAGTTAGTATCAAGATATCTCCGAGAACCCAAAACAAATATTTAAAATTTCTCATTTTGTAAAAAATAATGAAGCCTTGACACCTTACATTGTAGATGTCATTGCTACTTGATTCACATATGCATACTATGCCCCTATGACCTAAACAAAACTTTGCTAAAAAAAAAAATAATTTACTGAAGGCCCTGGGGTAAGCTGTTTGTTGTTACTAAAATTCCACCTCACTGAGCCCTGTCTCCCGGGAGTCTGGGAAATACATATTGCTTAAATGTGTGTGGGGATTATGAAGGAAACAACATTTCCTCCAAACCAGAGAAATGGGAACATTAAGTTCTCAATTAGGTCAGGTGGGCCCCCTTTCTATACATTCACACCTCTAACAAGCTTTCCCAAAAACCTAGGAGCTGATGTATTGAGCCCCGACCAGTTGTCCAGAGGGACTTCTGTGCCAGATGTGTAGCTCTCACCTGAGCATTAGTGACAAATTGTTCCTGTGCCTGCCTGACACATTAAAAAAACGACAACACTTATGGTGTAAAATGTAAACAGCATTCTATTTAAAATATGAATCCTAGGTGATGGTTATCTTTTCAAGTGCTCAAGCTGTATTGATCAATACATGGGGAGCACCTCACGTAACTTTCAACACTGCATCTCAAGAGCATATGGGTAGATTATCTCTCACTGGCCTAACACTGTCTAAACTATCTAATTCTACAGTTAGGGATTACTGTCACTTGAACAACCATCTTATATTTGAGGATTTCACAGTTTTGAGAGAAACAAGAAACAGATTGGCCCTAATCATCTCTGAATCCCTCTATATTGTTAGAATGAGGCCTCAACTGAAGATTGCCATTACATCTATTCAGCTGTTCACACAATTATGTATTTTATGTGTAAGTCTATAACTTTTTGCTAGTAAAAATGTTAGGTTATATTTTGTAACACTAAGGTATATTTGTGTACCTTTCTTATACTTTAAATGTGATCATATTTTTTCAACAGAACATTTTTGTTTATGATAGGGACCAGCTATTCTGCTTTATAATTGTTCATAACTGCTTTAGCACTGATGGAGTTTGATACTCCAGAATATCTGGATAATAGATGAAGATATTTGGATATGAACTGAAAATGTTTACCCTGGCTTTGGTACTTCTGTTCCTTATTCTTCCTCTTGATCCCAACGAAGTTACATATACTCTGCCCACTAATCACAAGAAAGACACACTACCTAACTGTACTTACCTAATCTTATTAATACAGAATAAACTATTGAACATCTACTGTGAACACATTTAAATAATGTTATGAGTTGTAATAAATATGTGTGAAAAATTACAAAGAATATGAGAAAGAAAATAGGTGATAACCTAAAATCTGTTGCATAAAATTAAGAATGATGATGATATAGCATAAATTAATAAAGTATGCAACAGATAATGAATGACAAAAATATTATTTTTCAGAGGACTTTTAATTAAAATATATGATAAAGTTGCATGTGTGTCCAGTTATTTAACTATTGTCAATATTGCTACCAACACTTCCACAAAAAACAACTATACACTACCAGCACAATGTATAGGTAAATAAACAAGAGACAAACATGTTAGTTCATACACAAGCTATAGCGCCTAAAATAAAAACAATGTACATACTAATTATAAAATTAATCAATAAAATTGCCAAAACATACAGTGCCAACTAAAGAAGTACTAAATAAATTTTTGTATCTTGCAAAATAAAGAATTTCTAAGAGTATTGTACTGCACATAACACTACTGCAGTAATCCCTTGTCCATAATTACAAAAACAGATTTTTTTTATCTTTAAACCGTTACATGCTCTGCAACTTAAAATTTATGACAAAATTTTGTTTGAGTATATTCTAATCTACATCAGTAAATATCTCCATGGGGAAAGTGGAAAAGAATTCTTCCTCCGTAATCAATGCATGTCGTAAGAGGTGACTAAAATGCCAGGAGCAAGGGGCTAGTAACACCTTTTCCTGTATGAATTACTAAATGAAAAAAAAAAAAAAAAAAAAAAGAAAGTCACCCTGCCTCGATGGAATACAGCCAGTGTTGTGAAAAAAGGGGGAAAAAAAGTAAATATAAAATTTTTGGCAAAGAGATGACCAAAAGCATCAATTTAGTTATCATTTTAAAGAACTCCTCAGTTTTCTTGAGAACTGAATGGAGATTTTTCAACAGATAAGATGATATATTAATATGTTTACAATGGTCCAAGGTCAGTGTCACAAAAATCGTGTAAATATCTTGGGTACTCTTTTTGAAGATGAACACGTTGTTCACACAAAGGACAAGGATAACAATGGTACAGAGCATATACAAGTTTTATATATATATATTTTTTATTAATGCATCGGCCGTTTCCCACCAAGGCAGGGTGACCTGAAGAAGAAGAAACATTTTCATTATCATTCACTCCATCACTGTCTTGACAGAGGTGCACCTACACTACAGTTATAAAACTGCAACATATCTCCACCCCTTCTTCAGAGTGCAGGCACTGTACTACCTACCTCCAGGACTCAAGCCCAGCTAACTGGTTTCCCTGAATCCCTTGTATATAAAAGTGTTTGTGAAAAATAATTATGCAACTAAAATGTTAAGCTTATTTATGAATAAAAATTTAAATGTAAACCAGAAGAGGATGTTTGTAGCCTGATGTGGAAATAGGTTGATTTAATGGGTAACACTGGTGATCTTGAAAATAAATAAGACAATTATAACAGTGAAGACGTGACAGTGCGTCAAACAGCATTTTAATCTACAATTTTGTTTATATTATGGTATAGAATACCAGGTACTGTATACATTTACTAGGTACAGTATTTAATACTTCTACTCTTTTGATAAGCACTGTATACTGCACTTTAATTTTTTTAACATAATGGCCATCTTCCACTGAGGCAGGGTGAACAGAACAAGAAGAAACTCTTTAGAAATTTTTCTTCTCACTTTAATTTCATGTAAAGCTATTTTTTTAAATAAGACTGCATATTAATGCAGCTAAACAAACTATTTTAGCACTACTGTTAATAACAATCCTGGTATCTTTTAGAAGAATTTACTAGATTTTTGCTGTATTTTCCTGCATCTTATCTCAAGTACCAAAGGAGAAGGACGTGATTACAAGGTAGCTTTGTTTAGAGGAAAATGTTTACTGTAACTAACAACAGTAAAGTACTGTGTTAACGTGAAGAAATATAGCTAGGTGCAAAGCAAAAATCAAACTAAATCGCAATGCTTTACACACTAAAACAAACTAACAGACAAGAACTAATGCAGATGCAAGAAGGCAACATGAGAGTCCCTGTTGTCCGGGTCTCACTGTGAATCAACAGACAGCAACAGTGAACAAAACAATTACCCGTGTTTTGTTAATGAAAATATGTGTCAAGATCAATGGAAGAACTCGTTATAAATATTGATACACGTATATTATAATGCTAATTACAAATGACAGTTATCTGCAAACAATTAACAGACAAAAATGATGCGAAAGCAATCTAAGAGGACAGACAATGACAACATATTTGACATACATTAATACACAGGGAAAGGAGTGCATCTATGGTTAACTGACAACAGTGCTGAAGGCCCAAATACACGTTATGAAGGCAATAAAATTAATTAAATTACTTAACTATGGAATTATGTCAATATAAAAAGTAATGACATAAAAAAATAACTTGTTTATTATAATTAATAATGCATTCATTAAGAATATAGTTTATACATTTTAATATAAAGAACTTACCATGTCAAGTTTGAAAACAGTAGAGCTAATCTCAGAGATACTTTACATATTATACAAAAGATGAATCAAGAGAATGTGAGTTTTAAAGCTTTTCCTATTAACTTTTATTATCTCTTCATTGTTACTTTAACTTAGGATATGTCATAGAAGATCGTATTTATTAGGTATCAGAGCCCTTCTAATCTTACAAGAAAAATATGATCTTAAGTGAAGGTGCTAAGCTATAGGCCTAAGTATAACACCAAAGTGTAGGCCAATGTGCAGCAAGCCATGTCTTTTAACTACTCAAACCTGGTCAGTCAACATAAGTACCTTTAAGGCCATGATCTCCTAGGAAAGAAAGTCACATGAGTTAGAAATAATGAATATTCAAGATACATGAATATGTTGCTTAAAAAATGAAAGAGTCAGCTCATTTTGAATTAGTCATTCCATACACAGGTAGGTCCCATTTTGTGATGGCCCATTTTATGACTTTTCACATTATTGACCTTTCCAAAATACCTCAAAAATTAAAAAAAACTATTTGTGTATGACTTTCAAAGGGATTGTTGAGGCTGTGTAGCTTGATATAACTGTGAGGGACTACTGGAAGTCCTTTAAAATTGATTAAATTACATTATAATTTGGTCTTGTTTCATGACTTTTCATCTTATGCCCTGTTTTGCTGGAATTTAAACCCTGTTGTAAAACGGGTCCTACCTGTATACTGTACAGCAGAACAATGCCGCATTAATTTTGTAAATTTATCGAAAAGTGTGGTGTGAGGGTGTGAGGGTGGGCGTGGCTGGGATACTTACCGTGCTTATAAACCCTCGGCCTCACACACTCACCCACAGTAAAGATAAAGCCGCACATTTTAGAATGATACCCAAAATGAGTTGATGTGTGTGAGCCAAATACCTTTCTTTTCTATGGCTATGTGTTCACAAAATGCACTTAAATCTATATAAAATACATCTGTTAGTTTATGAATATGAATAATTGTACTTGCATTTTCTACAGGTAGTACATACTGGTATTATTTATGTAACTACTGAATGAATGCAACTGTGTAAAAATCTGTTACTCTATGAATAGTAATACTATAATAATTTAAATGCATTAGAATGTATAACAATAATAAGATACAAGAAATTAAATGTATATTACTGTCTTTACAAGAAGCATTAATAAGGCATAAATATTAAACAGGTTTACTCAAAATTATAATATAATACATATAAAATGCAAATAAATATTTTTAATATGAAAAAATAAAAATTTTATTTTCAAAATATTATACATAAGTATAAAATAGTATGAATAGCATTTCAGGTGACTTAGACAAGGTGTAAAACTACTTAATACTAAAAATGTCTCATATATGAAAATTTAAAATAAAATTAATGATTAGAAACTAAAACATACCACAAAAACTATAATGAAATACAGTGTCATACAATCCAAATATACACTATACAGTACCAGGAATATAGTACACGATATATTATCAAGAAAGGTCAACCAGAGATCTGGAGATTTATTTTACCAAACTGCAGCTTGTTATTACTGTTGAAATTTTAAACATTTAGGTTTAATATATATAAAGTATTTATTGTAATTGGTCAATGGCTACCACTATGTATTTCTTTTCTTGCTTTATGGTAATATTCCAATATTTTGAAATGAATGTGAATTTTCCTTCCATAATAATCATGCTTTAATAACTGATATTAATTGGTCACTAGTTTTGGAGCAAACCCACCAGGAGGCTCAAGTCTTCTTTCCCCCCCCCCCCCACACAAAGAACTCATACCTAGTAAAAACGAGTCACAAAAATCAAAAGAAAAGATACGACTCATGTCAAAAAAAAAAAAAAAGAGTCTCGTTCACTAATTGGATAAGTTAAAATTTGCTCAGATTTTTAACCTGAAGGGTTAGCCACCCAGGATAACCCATAAAAGTCAGTACGTCCCTGAGGACTGTAGTATCTTATTTCTAAAGGGATCCTTTAATCTTGTACCCCAGGATGCACCCCATACCAGTCAACTAACACCCAGGTACCTACTTACTACTAGGTGAACAGGGACAGCAGGTGTAAGGAAACATGTCCAAGGTTGATGGGATTTCAAATAAGGCTAGTGAATTCAAAGAAAAAAAACATACTACATAAAAATTATATATAACTAGGGTCACAGCAACCCACCTTCCCAACAATTCTCAAAACAGCGCTCAAAACAGCGAGGATCACTCCGATACAAGCTGGCACTGGACAAGCACCTAAAGTCAGTTCCTGATCAGCCGGGCTGTGGCTCGTACGTTGGTTTGCGTGCAGCCAGCAGCAACAGCCTGGTTGATCAGGCGCTGATCCACCAGGAGGCCTGGTCACAGACCGGGCCGCGGGGGCGTTGACCCCCGAAACTCTCTCCAGGTAAACTCCAGGTACACAAAGGAGGTGACCAAGCTGACTTGAATAACTAAAGACCAATATCTAACTTACCACTCCTCTCTCAAATCTTTGAAAAATTAATTCAAAGATGGATCTATTCCTACTTCGTCTCACATAACATACTAAACCCCGTCAGTTGGGATTCAGGAATAATAAAAGCACAAATGATGCTATCATACACATGCCAGAACTAATATATGCCGCTCTCAAAAAGAAAGAAGTCCCGCTGGGAATTTTCACTGATTTATGTAAAGCTTTTGATACAGTCAACCATGAACTGCTGTACACTAAATTAACACACTATGGTATAAGAGGCCACTCCCTCAACTACCTAAAGTCATACCTTAGTATTTTTTTTTTTTTTATTATCACACTGGCCGATTCCCACCAAGGCAGGGTGGCCCGAAAAAGAAAAACTTTCACCATCATTCACTCCATCACTGTCTTGCCAGAAGGGTGCTTTACACTACAGTTTTTAAACTGCAACATTAACACCCCTCCTTCAGAGTGCAGGCACTGTACTTCCCATCTCCAGGACTCAAGTCCGGCCTGCCAGTTTCCCTGAATCCCTTCATAAATGTTACTTTGCTCACGCTCCAACAGCACGTCAAGTATTAAAAACCATTTGTCTCCATTCACTCCTATCAAACACGCTCACGCATGCCTGCTGGAAGTCCAAGCCCCTCGCACACAAAACCTCCTTTACCCCCTCCCTCCAACCTTTCCTAGGCCGACCCCTACCCCGCCTTCCTTCCACTACAGACTGATACACTCTTGAAGTCACTCTGTTTCGCTCCATTCTCTCTACATGTCCGAACCACCTCACCAACCCTTCCTCAGCCCTCTGGACAACAGTTTTGGTAATCCCGCATCTCCTCCTAACTTCCAAAACTATGAATTCTCTGCATTATATTCACACCACACATTGCCCTCAGACATGACATCTCCACTGCCTCCAGCCTTCTCCTCGCTGCAACATTCATCACCCATGCTTCACACCCATATAAGAGCGTTGGTAAAACTATACTCTCATACATTCCCCTCTTTGCCTCCAAGGACAAAGTTCTTTGTCTCCACAGACTCCTAAGTGCACCACTCACTCTTTTTCCCTCATCAATTCTATGATTCACCTCATCTTTCATAGACCCATCCGCTGACATGTCCACTCCCAAATATCTGAATACATTCACCTCCTCCATACTCTCTCCCTCCAATCTGATATCCAATCTTTCATCACGTAATCTGTTTGTTATCCTCATAACCTTACTCTTTCCTGTATTCACTTTTAATTTTCTTCTTTTGCACACCCTACCAAATTCATCCACCAATCTCTACAACTTCTCTTCAGAATCTCCCAAGAGCACAGTGTCATCAGCAAAGAGCAATTACCTAAATCTTAAAACTTCAAGACTAGACAACCAAGCACATATAGTGACAAATTACCACATAGAAGTATATATACCTACCAAAAGCAGTACTGCCCTTCACCCAGTTGTAGCAGTCTCATACTGTAAACTACTCTTGAATCATGTTTCATAAAAAGCATTTTTGAATACAGTACATGAATATATCCTTTGGTTTGTATAAATTAGATTCACTTATAATTAATAGACAATATCTTTAGTGATAAGTAGTCAGTAAGCCATTAAATTAAGTCAGTCCATAATGCCTAGGCATAATAGAGGCTCTCTTTGCACTGCAACCCATTACGTATTGTAAAAATATAATCTCAATGTTCTACTTGCAAAGAAATAAACGAATTTGAATGATTATGAATGCAGTCTTCATAGGAAATATGTACCCAAGTACTAGTTAAAAAATTAAAATTGGGTAGCATTCCTATCAGTCAAGAAGTAGTGGAAATCTGAGTAGACAGATGCTCTAAATTACCTAATTTCACAGATGACATAGCAGGTACAACTACCTAGTGGACCTAAAGTAGCTGTGGCTATAATATACATGCCACCTGAAAACAGGAAGAAAAGAAATGACACCACAGAGGCCACCATTATCATTCTTTAGAATGCAGCCATGCTATGATTAGAGTGGATATGGAGAGAAAGTTCCTGTAGGTGCAACACACCTGTTAAATGAACCACAAGAATGAGAGGAGACAATGAAGTGGTTAAGCTAGACCTAATACTCACTGAGAATGAATCAGATATCACCACGATACATTCTGAAGCCCCACTGGAGCTCATTAATATGTATTTATATACACAGTGGAGGTGATGCTAAAGGAAAGGTTTGCATATTGTTAAGGGGACTGAAGTATGAGGGAATGAGATGATGCCTACCCAAGTTACAATGAGATACTGGACAACCACTTTATACTAAGGTGCTGAAGTGTTGCTAATAAATTCATTCTCCCCCAGAGATGAGAGAGAGAGATGTAAAAAGATACTCCATGGTTTAACCAAAGATTGACAGACATTTGAGAATGAGCTACCATGGGTAAAAGAATCCTCCATGTCAATATTTAAAGGGTATGCATGGAAGACATATGTGAGAAATAAGAGGATTTGGATAAACTGCAAGAAAGGCCCATCAAGTCCTTATTCAAGTTTAAAAGTATCAAGTGTAATGAAGATTTAATAGAAGGAAAGGATGGTAGAGATAATATATCATATGGGAGTGAAATAATTACAGGAGTAAATGGGGTAAACATCATATCAAATATAAAAAGTTAGGGACACAAACTGAACCACATGGGAAACATACACAAAAGTAGGAAAAGTAAGAACTGCTTTCATGAATCTGAACAAGGAATCATTCAAGATCCTGTATTTTTGGTTTGTATGATCATTATTGCGTATGAATGCAGCACCAGCATGGAGACTTGACATACTCAACTGTACAAAAAATAAAAAAAATTATAAAGAGATTAGCTATTAAGGAAGACTATTGGTGGTACTGTAAGCCTAACATCACATCACTGGAGGAGGGGAGAGGAGAGGAGAAGGACAAGGCAGAAAGACATACTCTTTGACTAGAGACAGCATAACAAAGTGGCAAAGGTCAAAGTTAAATATGCATCTGAGTTACAAAAAACATTAGAGGAAACTTCTTTTTTAGTGATTGAATTGAAGAAGTCTTATGCACTAAAGAGCCAGGTAGAAGAGAGAAAATTCACACACAGTATTGTACTGTATGGCAAAGGACAAGAGGTCATAGAAAATTTACATTAATCAAATAAAGATTAAGAGACAAGAATCAAGAGATGAAGCTCATCCCAATTAACAAAAGTGAGTTTACGTAGGAGGGAGCACATCCACTTCAGAATGTGACTGCTGCGTTTCTCTTATCTCCTCTTCACCCACTAATATTCCCCCCCCCTCCCTCCCTCTACCTCTCTCTCTATTCCAAGAACCTGGCAATATTATTTTACCAAAATATTACACATCACAAAGTGCCTATACCTAAATCTTGTTTTGTTAAATTATAACTAATATAGCATATAGTAATTAAAAACAGAAAAAACTGAATGAATAATCTCATATTATCCAGCAGGATATGTATACTTTCTTTATTGCCTAAATCATTGCATGTTTCATTTGCTACTGTGGGCTTCCAACTAATGCATGACGAGATTCTGGCACTATGTATACGTCATAGCTAATTATATACAGTACAGTATCATTTTTTGAGGGGCATTCCCATTCTTGTAGCAGTAGCTCATTCTCATCGTGCACAAGAGGCCATACACAATCTACTGTTAATGGCATGACTCCAAAGCAACCTCTTATGTGATGCATTTCATAATGGACAGAGAAAAGTGTGGTTTTAATACCAATACTGCTGTCTGCAGCTAAAGTCATTGAAATTAGAAGAATTACTCACATGGGGGCGCTTCCACTCGAAGGGTTTGGGAGGAGAGCGGGAGAAGAAGATAGAAGAATCCTCAGCAGCGAACTCTGGATCTTCAAAAAGAGTACCCTCATCAAGGCACTGCTGACGGAGACTGTAGAAGTCCTGTATTTCTCCTCTGGGCCGCAGTCCTGATCCTCGCTCCCCAAACTGAAGAAACAAAATTTATATGTAACCACACTGGAGAGGAAAAACACAATAACCTGGTGTATATTCAAAGGGGTTTATGAGGCAATATTACTGATTTGATGGTCTTATAACATGTGCATTAAAAGGTGCAAAAAAAAAAAAAAAAAAAAAAAAAAACAACTATGGACATTATGTGTAATTACCTAATTTTAGGTAATTACAAACAGCAATTACAAAACTGTGTGTGGACATGTATGAAGGCCAAAATCATTATGAAAATTATGATGACTTCAGAAACAGAGATTGGTGAGAAAATTAAAATGAATTTTTTCCATTATGGCTGTAGAGAGATACAGTATATAACTTTTACACACCTTCCTTATAAAGAAAACATTTAGATTTTCAAGAAAAACTTTGGTTTTCAGAGTCCTGAAAAACTGCACATTAAAAAAGCCATTCTTTCATTACTGATGAATATAAAACACATTCTTTCATCCAACCTCATTTACTTTCCAGCCTTCTCATTTCCTTCTCTTCTAGGAAGGAGTATAAAAAATGTACCTTGTATGTTGTTTTATCATCCTCAATACTGAACACGGAGCTCATACGGTGTCGCTTTCTTCCATGAGTGGTGATCTGGTTGCTGGGCGAGGATGGGGTGTGTGAAATGTCTTTGAGTTTTTCCGAGTCTGAAAACTTCCAGGTGTTGATAAATTTGTGTTGTGTATCATCGGTCCCTCGTGTGTGGGAGAAAGCTAGTGCATCGTTAGTTATTCTTGCAACTGGCTTGATGACACGTTTGTGAGAAGTTACTGTGAACTGTATGCTGGTTCCCATTTTGTACTCCTCGCTTCTACTTATTTATTTATAATTTTCCACTATAAAATAATCTCAGATCATAAAAATGTGGCATACAAACATTCATGAAATTACTAATATACAAACTCACTTATACTGTACTGTACTGTACCTGTGATAATAACAATAAGTGTTACTTTTCATAATCAATGCGAGAGCAATTGCTATATCTAAATATTTTTATTTAATACATGTTCAGTAGTTTTTGTATGTACAGCCTCTCCTCGTTTAACGATGGAGTTCTGTTCCTAAGATCACGTTGTTAAACAAATTTGTCACTAAGTGAGGAGCATACTATAATGGTAGTGGGTTTATGTCAACCATCTCTGATATTGTTTTAATGTGACTTTGGCACCATTTATAACATTTCTGGTATATTTTTAAATGTTTACACAGTAGTGTACTGTATATTGAAATAAACAGAATAGAGGAAATAATCTCTAATATACATTATTTAGGTATAAATACTAAGTCTGAGGCATCAGTAAACAAGTACGTCGCTAAGTGAGGAGAGGCTGTGCTTTAATTTCTTACGTTTACAGTGTGAGTGTGGGTGAGTAAATGTTCTTGCCAGTTGTATTTATAGGGTTAGTCTCTTAATCTATATTTGACTAGCATTTTTTATTACTTCCAGCAAGCATGCATGAACGTGTCAGATAGGAGTGAATGGAGGCAAATGGTTTTTAGGACTTGGAGTGTGAGCAAGGAAACGTTTATGAAAGGGTTCGGGGAAACCGGCAGACTGGACTTGAGTCGTGCAGATGGGAAATACAGTGCCTACACTCTGAAGGAGAGGTGTTAATGTTGCAGTTTTAAACTCCAGTGTAAACATGCCTCTGGCAAGACAGTGATGGAGTGAATGATGGAGTTTTTCTTTCTTGGGCCACCCTGCCTTGGTGGGAGACGGCTGATGTGTTAATAATAAAATTTTTATTACAGCCCTTCTGAACCCTATCCTACCTACATTTTAAAGTGCATACAGTAAAAAATTGGCTCCACTGCTCATGTCTCTTAGCTCAGGAACAAGCCTTGTTTTGCACTTTTACACATTCTCCAGTTTCTTAACATGCTTTTTCAGGTATGGGTTCCATACTGGTGCTTCATGTGCCAAAATGGACCTGAAATATGTTGTATAAAGAGCCTGGAATGACTGCTGAAATTACTGCGGGCTACTCTCGATTTACCAGAAGACCACTGACTGCAGAGGTTATTTGGCTGATGTGAGCCTCTGTCGACTGATATACCAAGCAATATGCTGCCTGCTCGGTCTTTTCCTCTAAATGAATTCTGCAGTCTCTGTCCCCCTAGTCAATATGTACTCCATTTCTGGTCTTGCTCTTTCGCCAATCTTCATGACCTTACATTTCCTGGGATTGCATTCAATCAATCACTCCTCTGACCAATCTTAAGGTTTATCCAACTGCATTTGGAGCTTTTCCTCATCCTCATCTGTTTTTATTCTTCTCATTAGTTGTACATTCTCAGCAAACAAGGACACATCTGAATCAATACTGTATGGAATTTCATTCATATAAACTGGAAACAGTACTGGTTCTAATACTGATCCATGTTGAACCCCGCTAGTTACACTTCCCTATCTTGATGTCTCTTCCCTATTCTTTACTTCCTTTCTCTAACTTGTACCCACCATGTTGTTTTTGCAGGGGTCGAGTCTTTGCTATTGGCCCCTGTGTGTGTGTGCATGTGTACTCATCTAGGTCTCACCTAGTTGTGGTTGCAGGGGTCGAGTCACAGCTCCTGGCCCCGCCTCTTCACTGGTCGCTACTAGGTTACTCTTCCTGCTCCATGAGCTTTATCATACCTCTTCTTAAAGCTATGTATGGATCCTGCCTCCACTACATCACTTCCCAGACTACTCCACTTCCTGACAACTCTGCGACTGAAGAAATACTTACCAACATCCCTGTAATTCATCTGAGTCTTCAACTTCCAACTGTGACCCCTTGTTGCTGTGTCCCATCTCTGGAACATCCTGTCTATGTCCACCTTGTCAATTCCTCTCAGTATTTTATATGTCGATATCATATCCCCCCTCTCTCTCCTGTCCTCCAGTGTCGTCAGGTCGAGTGAGTGAGTGAGTGAGTGAGTGAGTGAGTGAGTGAGTGAGTGAGTGAGTGAGTGAGTGAGTGAGTGAGTGAGTGAGTGTGTGTGTGTGTGTGTGTGTGTGTGTGTGTGTATGTGTGTACGTACTCACCTAGTTGAGGTTGCGGGGGTCGAGTCCGAGCTCCTGGCCCCGCCTCTTCACTGATCGCTACTAGGTCACTCTCTCTGAGCCGTGAGCTTTATCGTACCTCTGCTTAAAGCTATGTATGGATCCTGCCTCCACTACATCGCTTCCCAAACTATTCCACTTACTGACTACTCTGTGGCTGAAGAAATACTTCCTAACATCCCTGTGATTCATCTGCGTCTTCAACTTCCAACTGTGTCCCCTTGTTACTGTGTCCAATCTCTGGAACATCCTGTCTTTGTCCACCTTGTCAATTCCTCTCAGTATTTTGTATGTCGTTATCATGTCCCCCCTATCTCTCCTGTCCTCTAGTGTCATCAGGTTGATTTTAACCTCTCCTCGTAGGACATACCTCTTAGCTCTGGGACTAGTCTTGTTGCAAACCTTTGCACTTTCTCTAGTTTCTTTACGTGCTTGGCTAGGTGTGGGTTCCAAACTGGTGCCGCATACTCTAATATGGGCCTAACGTACACGGTGTACAGGGTCCTGAATGACTCCTTATTAAGATGTCGGAATGCTGTTCTGAGGTTTGCTAGGCGCCCATATGCTGCAGCAGTTATTTGGTTGATGTGCGCTTCAGGAGATGTGCCTGGTGTTATACTCACCCCAAGATCTTTTTCCTCGAGTGAGGTTTGTAGTCTCTGGCCCCCTAGACTGTACTCCGTCTGCGGTCTTCTTTGCCCTTCCCCAATCTTCATGACTTTGCACTTGGTGGGATTGAACTCCAGGAGCCAATTGCTGGACCAGGTCTGCAGCCTGTCCAGATCCCTTTGTAGTTCTGCCTGGTCTTCGATCGAGTGAATTCTTCTCATCAACTTCACGTCATCTGCAAACAGGGACACTTCGGAGTCTATTCCTTCTGTCATGTCGTTCACAAATACCAGAAACAGCACTGGTCCTAGGACTGACCCCTGTGGGACCCCGCTGATCACAGGTGCCCACTCTGACACCTCGCCATGTACCATGACTCGCTGCTGTCTTCCTGACAAGTATTCCCTGATCCATTGTAGTGCCTTCCCTGTTATCCCTGCTTGGTCCTCCAGTTTTTGCACCAATCTCTTGTGTGGAACTGTGTCAAATGCCTTCTTGCAGTCCAAGAATATGCAATCCACCCACCCCTCTCTCTCTTGTCTTACTGCTGTCACCATGTCATAGAACTCCAGTAGGTTTGTGCCACAGGATTTCCCGTCCCTAAAACCATGTTGGCTGCTGTTGATGAGATCGTTCCTTTCTAGGTGTTCCACCACTCTTCTCCTGATAATCTTCTCCATGATTTTGCATACTATACATGTCAGTGACACTGGTCTGTAGTTTAATGTGTGTGTGTGTGTGTGTGTGTGTGTGTGTGTGTGTGTGTACGTACGTACGTACTCACATAATTGTGGTTGCAGGGGTCGAGACTCAGCTCCTGGTGTGTGTGTTTATCTGGGGCTAAGGATGATTACTGGTTGTTGTTGTTTTGAAAAAGAAGTATTTTGTAGCAAGAGATGCGTTAGCTTAACTGGGTTGAAGTGCCTCTGTTGGACTACGTACACCAAGCATCAAAATTCCGACTGACCACGCAGTCAATTAAGAAAGTTTAGTCTGAAATCAGGTTGCGCAGGCAATGATCCCGGGGAAAAAAAACAAGTAGTCAACAGGAAATAAGAGGTGCATTTCGTCTGTGCGTGTGAGCAGGACGATAATTCTTTTGTTAGTTATGGGAGTTAAAAATTCAACACTGGAATTGTGTGTCCTGGGTTCTCATATATTGGTGCATCCATGCTTTTGCCCTTCTATATTTCTTAGTGCTGATTAGTCAGGGGGTTGACGGTGCTTTTTTTTCCTGTAGCTCTTATTATTATGGAAAGAGTTAAACCCGTAGGGATTATATAGCGCTTGTGGGGAAGGGGAAAACATTCAGGCTTCATTC